CCCCCCTGACGAGAATCTTGTCAGGTCAGGTTAGCCAGGATCCCCCTGACCCCTGATGTTACCTCTTAGTAAAGTCGCACCTGCTGCCCTCCCGCCCTGCACCTTGGTTAAAAGTCCTCCTTGTTTCTGCTGTGTCTAGAGCTGACTAATCTCATTAAGCGGTCACTCCCTGTCACCTCCTTCCCCCAGGCCCTGGCAACTGCTGATCTCTCTTCTGTCTCCATGGATTTGCCCATTCATTTCCTACAGATGGGACTCCTACACCCTATAGCCTTTCGTATCTGGCTTCTTTCAGTCTTTTGGGGTTCATTCCTGTTGTAGCGCATGTGAGTGCTTCCCTCCTTTTCTCGCGGATAAACATTCCACTGTGTGGACAGATCACCTTTGGTTTCCCATCCGTTGATGGGCATTTGGGGCATCTCGGCCTGTTGGCTGTTGGGAATAGTGCTGCTGTGAACACTTGTGTGCGGGTATTTCTCTGAAGACCTAGTGTCAGTGTTTCTGGGTACCTGCCTGGAAGTGGAAATGTGGGGTCACCTTTTTCACTCAGATTTCGGGAGACCGATCCGTCTGCCACCCAGAGGTTTCCAGAATCTTGAAGCTCCCCTCAAGGCAAGGTAGTGTTGGCCTGGAACTCCCCTTCCTCAGAGTCCGAGCAGCGCAGAGGGAGGGTTGGGGGCTGTTTTAGTCTCTCCATCAGATCCCCTCCCCTTCCTTGTCCAGAATGGATGATCGTGGTTCTCTCAGTGGTATGTGGAGTTTATAAAACTCCTACACTGAAATACAGGGTCCACTCTCGACTCCTGGCTTTTGTGGAACCCACAGATGCTTCCCCCATCTACACAAGCAGTTGCGTCCATCACTGCTGGGAACAGAGACTTCTGTGGAGGACCATTTGTTAGTATCTATTGCAGTAATAAGGGCACATACTCTCTGACTAGGAATTTCACCTCCAGGAGTGTGTCCTACAGTCCTGTGTCAACATGAGCTGGGGGTGGGGGGTGACAGGGCACAAGGCCACCTACCACATCACTGTAATGGTAAAGGGGCAGAAATACTACAAACATCTGCTCAGTAAGGTCTTGGTTGAAAAATGTTCCGGATATCCTCCTGTGGAGTACTTACTATGTGGTTTACATTTAAAAAAAATATTTTATTTGTATGACACACAGAGAGAGAGCACACACTCACAAGCAGGGGGAACAGGAAAGGGAGAACTAGGCTCCCTGCTGAGCAAGGAGCCCCATGTGGGACTCGATCCCAGGACCTCAGGGTGGTGACCTGAGCTGAAGGCAGACACTTAACCAACTGAGCCACCCAGGCATCCAACTATGTGGCTTAAAAAAAAAAAAGGATTTTATTTGGGAGAGACGGAGAGAGCGCACAAGTGGTGGGGGAGGGGCAGAGGCAGAGGCAGAGGGAGAAGCAGACCCGTCGCTGAGCAGGGAGTCCGACACGGGGCTCCATCCCAGGACTCCGGGATCATGACCTGAGCTGAAGGCAGACGCTTAACTGACTGAGCCACCCAGGTGCCCCACTATGTGGCTTTTTGTAAAAAAATGAAGACACTCCATCAGAATTTCCAGAAACTCTACTAATACAAGTAAGGTGCAGAATGGTGTGTCTAAGACACTACCTAGTACGGAAAAAACAATACCTATTTGTTCTCTGTGCATTAATAACCTTACCCGACAAGCAATGCCATGGTTGTTCTGGTGGGAGTGGTAGATAAGATATGTTTTTTTATATGGCGAAAGGACTTTGCAGGTGTGATTAAGTTGAGGACCTTGAGATGGGGAACTTAGATTCTAGATGACCCGAGGGGGGCCGGTGTAATCGCAGGGATCTTTAAAGGGAAGAGGGAGGTGAGAAGGCCACAGGAGGAAGGAGGGAGGAGGGAGCAGGAGGAGGAAAGGCCATGTGATGGGCTGTATGCCAAGCAGTGCTGGCCGCACCTCTAGAAGCCGGAAAGGCAGGAAATGGGTTCTCCCCTGGGGCCTCCAGAGGAACCAGCCCCAGCCAACACCTTGATTCTAGCCCCAGGAGACTCTGGACTTCCGACTCCAGAGCTGTAAGAGTATTTTGTGTTTGAAGCCACTATGCTTGTGGTGATACAGTTCCCCCATCTAAAATGTACTATTCAGAGGGCACCTGGGTGGCTCAGTTGGTTGATCTCAGGGTCCTGGGATTGAGCTCCACATCCGGCTCCTTGCTCAGCAGGGAGCCTGCTTCCCCCTTTCCCTCTGCTGCTTCCCATACTTGTGCTCTCCATCAAATAAATAAATAAATTCCTTTTTTTTAAAGATCTTATTTATTTATTTATTTGACAGAGAGAGATCACAAGTAGGCAGAGAGGCAGGCGGAGAGAGAGAGAGAGAGAGGAGGAAGCAGGCTCCCTGCCGAGCAGAGAGCCCGATTCGGGACTCAATCCCAGGACCCTGAGATCATGACCTGAGCCGAAGGCAGAGGCTTAACCCACTGAGCCCAGGCACCCAATAAATAAATTCTTAAAAAAATAAGATGTACTATTCGGTGGTTTTTTGTATATTACATTATCAACTTTTAAAAAATCGTGGGAAAATAGAGATGACAAAATTTACCATTTTGGCATTTTTAAGTGTACAGTTTTGTGGCATTAATCACAGTCACAAGGTTGTGCAAAACTGGATATCTGTAAGCAAAAGCATGAAGTTGGACCCTCACCTTATTCTCTATGTGCAAATTAACTCAAAGTAGACCCCCCTTGCTTTTTATAACTTTTGATTTGGGGTGTTTACATAGGACCTAGTTAAAAATATTAAAGAGAGAGAGATAAATAAGAAGAACTTTCCCCAGGGTGTCTGAGAATCCTGGGGGCTCACGTCTCTGTAGTTTTCTTTCGCCTTTTTCTAAGTGGACTCCATGCCCACCGTGGAGCCCAGCATGGGGCTTGAACTCATGATCCTGAGGTCAAGACCTGAGCAGAGATCGAGAGTAAGATGCTTAACCGACTGAGCCCCCCAGCCCCCCAGACACTTCCTCGATTCAGGATCTTGCTCCCACACCTCTGGTTCTGTCCCACATGCTGAAAGTCCACACAAAATGCAGCCCCTCCCCAATTCCTACAAAAAGACCTCCCTTGCACACAGCCATTCCAGATGTAATAAATTAACTTTAATATTGGGGCTGGGGATGGACAGGGGTTTATGTAGCAGCAACGTCTCTCTGACACTGTGGAGCCCTATGGGCCTTGCCACGCCCTTGCCCCTCACCCCTCCCATTCTTCTCTGTTCACACTCTCCTTTCCATCCAGAGAAGACCCCAAGAACTTGTTTTCTCTTGCACAGCAGCTCATGCCTCACTCTCCGGTTTAGCACCCTGGCCCACGGCCTTACATCCTGCCAAGTACTTCCCCAACAGACAGGTCTCACTGTAAGAGGAATTCTGGTTCCTGCTCCCGAGATCAGCGTCTGTTATAAAATAGGAAACAGACCTGTTGCATCTGAGCACCTCTGCCTCCGGGACCTTGGGCTGTATCCTTCCTGGTCTGAGGGCTGTCTTGTGTCTTGAACAGCTGTAGCTTCTGCTCCCCCAGGACCTCTTCCTTCTTGTTTTTCACACTTTGCTTTCCTTGGTGGATGACTAGCTCCCGTTCCCCGGGTTCCTGTCCAGCCCAGCATGCTGCTACAGATGATCTCCCGTGGCCTGAGTCTTGACAGAAGGTGCTAGGATCTCACATCCTTCAAGTTCATGTCCACCATTGTTCCTGCTCCTCAAACAGCTCTAAGCAGCTGAATTCCAGACTTGGGTTCTCCTCTGGACGAAGGTTGGCAGCTCTTTCTTGTAACCAAGGGATGCCATGGATACAGAGATTTCGAAGCTCAAGGCCAGAGGTCAAATTCTAATAAAAATTATCTGGCAGTTGGAATAGTCTGTGTGGCTCCACGAGGCAGGAAGGGGTTAATCTTGCCCAAAGAGAGATTGGGCCCTTTGCCCCTGGCTCCAGGAGGTAACCCTAAGCCCTTGGAGTGTTTTGGCTGATGGGAGTCTTATTTTGCCTGGGGCTGTGGGCGGCACCAGAGAGTCTATGCTAACAGTGTGATTCATAGCGGGAGCCCTGACCTGTGGAGGTGCTGGAGACTAAGGTCAGCTCCATGGCTGGTCAGCCACATCTGCAATGATGTACCCCGGATAAAAACCCTTGAAAACGAGGCTCAGGTGAGCGTCTTTGGTTGGTGAGACTCTGTGTTGTCACACATCATTGCTGGGAGAATTCAGTGCTGTCCGTGCAACTGAGAGCTGGTGTAGGGTCTCTCCCGAATAGTGCCCCATGCGGCTTCTCACGTGACTGTTAACCTCATCCCTTCATTGTAATAAACTGTAACCGTAAGTGCACCAGCTTTCCTGAGTGCTGTGATTCCTTCCAGTGAATGACTGCACCTGAGAGGGGTCGTGGGGGCACTTGAACTTGCACCTGCCACTGCAGTGCAGGGTGGATGGGACATTCTTGAGGTCTGGCCTGAGAAGGGTGGCCCATCTCTTTGGAGGGAGCTTCCTCCCCTGGGGCCAGGGTCCAGCTGCAAGGTCCATGCCCTCGCCGGCCCCAGTTTCTCTCTCCAGCAGTCCTGATGCTGTCACTTTGTGTTCTCTTTCGGTGGATCCTCGGAAGAGCTGGCATTGATGTCCACAACAACCATATAGGAGACATGCTAGAAGGCAGATATTAAAACGTTAGCCTCAGGGCCCTTCGTGTGCAAAGAGCTGCGGGCCTGTTCCCTCCCCTCTCCCTGGAAGTCAGGGCGGCGCTTCCTCAGTTGAGCTTAGCCAAAAGGCCAAGAAGTGATTGGGGCGACAGTTCTTAAGGTGTGGTCATGAGTGGGGAGGGAAGGGGCGCCTACAGAAATGCAGATCCTTGGGCCCCAGCACAGACCCACCGAAACAGATGCTCAGGGGGCAGGGCCCGGGAACCTGCATTTTAAGCAAACTTTTCAGGGGAGTCTGCCTGGAAGGAGGGGTTGGGAACCATGGCTCAAGACATCTGGAGAGAAAATCCAGGACCTGGCTCCTGACACCATGCTGGCGTTTGGTTAAATGCTACAGGTCCCCAGAGATGCCTGTCACCTCCTTGGGAATGTCCATGCAATTAGTCTGTGGTTCGTGCAGAGTCCCACACCCTCCTCAGCCCCACCACCACACTCACGCCATTAGCCGAGGAACGGTGTTGGTCACGACCTAGGGAAAGAGAAGGAGAAGTTTCGGGAATGAATGACAGTCTGGACAGCATGGCGAGAGGACACATGTGGGTGGCAGAGCCCCTTGAATTCTCAGCCCCAGTTCTGTTGCTGACATGGGGAAGCCCCTCCTCGCAGTGGTTATGCGTAAAACAGGACTGGGGTATATGCCCCACCCAGCTATCTGTGCAGTTATTAAGCATAAATAAATATTTATTCGCCATGGGTTCTGGAACCTGAGAGAAGGTTTCAAATCCCAGCTCTGTCCTTTAGGAGTTGTGTGACCTAAGGCAATTGATGCTCTGTGCCTCAGTTTCCTCAGCCATCACACAGGGATTTATTCAGCAAATAGGAAATGTCTGCTTTGTGCCAGGGGCCTTCTAGATGCCGGAGATACAGCCATGAGCAAAACAGCCCCAATCCCTGCTCTCATGGAGTTCAGATTAACCACTGTTACCGGCGACAACCAGACTCAGAGCCTGCATGCGCCGGGCGTGTTGCTTACGATTTGCCAAATGCTGCCCTGAGAGCTTATGATCAGGGACGGTTACTCCCATTTCACAGAGGAGGAAACTGAGTCACAGAGAGTAGGTCATTTGCCCTTGATGACACAATTAATAAAGCAGTAGACTGAGGGCACAGACACAGGCAGTCTGGCTCTGAAGATGCCACGCTTGGCAAACCCTTCCTCAAGTGCCTCCTGTGTGCCTGGTGCAGGGGCAGGCAGGGCTGGGGACACAGCTGTGGCTATGACAGTTCTAGCTCCGCCCTCCTGGGGATCACAATTCGCTGTAGAGATAGATGAGTACCCACACAGTGGCGCGTTCCCAAGTGGGCAAGGCCTTGGGTGGGGGCTGGGGGGGAAGTCCAGAGCAGGTGTTTGGCTCACTCTGGGAGATCAGGGAGGGCTTCCTGGAGGAGGAGGCCTCCAGCTGGGATGTGAGGAGGCAGTTTTGTTTAGGGGTTGAGGGAAGAAGCTTTGTCGTCAGCAGAAATGCCCTCTCCTCCTGACTTTCGGGCTGCGAGCCCGTTGGCAGACCTCCTCTCTGCAAGCAAACATTTCCTCATCCATAGAGTGGGGGTCAGTGCTCAGCACCGGAAAGGGCTCAGCAAAACAGCTCTTCTTCAGCTCTACTGATGAAGCCAAAGGACTTCACCCGAAAGAGCCGTGGGGAGGGTGTTGCAGGCAGGGGAACAGCCTATGTGGAGCCCTTTAGTCAAGAGGATCAGGCCTTTAAGAGCTGGGATCAGGGTGCCAGCTACCGCCCCTCCTCCCCAGAGGTTTGCAAAAAGGAATCAATGATCCAGTGAGCAGGATTTTCCAAAACTTAGTGTCCTCCTGTGTCAAATAGGGGAAGCTCATGGTACTTCCATGGTACTGAACTGAGGGTTCAGTCTGAGGCTGCCGTACTCGGGGATGAGTCTAGATCATAGCAGGTGGCCAAGCATGGCGGCTGTGGGGATGCTCATTCTCAGCTGACAGGCAGGAGATATGCCAAAGAGGAGGGACTCACGGGAGCGTCTGGACAGCCAGAAACGAATCAGGAAGGCCAGCAGGGCCAGAAAGACAAGGACTCCTCCCACTATCAGGAAAGCGATGCCCAGAGTGGACAAGCCTTGTTGTGGCGCCTGGTTGGGAGGTTCTTCTGGAAGAGAAGAAGTAAGCAGGGTTAAGTTCAGGGGCTCCTGGGGTCTTCACGTGCCCCTAAAACATGATTCCTCATCCTTTAGGGAAGCTTCCGCCAGGCCTCTCCCGGTCATGTCTCAGGTGGACTTGACTCCACCCCCTGGTTCCTAGGACGGGACTTTGACCCAGGCCTGGCTGATCAGAGCATTCCATTCTCCTTGGCTGTTGGGATAGATTCACGGGGCTGCTGGGACCCTAGCTAAGCCAACGACAGTCAACCCTGGACTTTGGCTAGAGCTACTGAAAGTGGTGTATTCTTTCAACTGGGACTACTAGACAGGGGAGACAGGAGGCTGTAACTGCTGAGGAACATCTCACCTCCCTGAGAACACAGAGAAAAGCAGAGACAAGAGATGTAAAGGAAAGTTCCTGGGTTTCACAGTTGGAGCATCTGGATCCAACCATACCTGAAGGTGCATTTTCAGTAAAGTCCCATTTTTGCTTAGGCTATTTAGAATTATGCTTCTATCACTTGCAACTGATAGAGATTCCTGCCTCACATGCTTGGAAAGCCCTTTCTGAGTCCTGGGGACAAGCCTCACACAGCTACCCAAGCCTGGGTTTGCAGACGGGGTGTATCCGGGAGGCTGCACAGTGGTTCCAATGGTACAGATGGTGAGTTAATGAGACTAAAGCTGATTCCATTGGTCCTTTCATGAGGGGTGTTAGGGGAAGGATGGGAATCAGAAAGCATTCTTGCGTCTGAGGATTCCCTTAACCAGGAACCACCTCCAAACTCCTCCATCAGAGAGGATCCTGCTGTGACCTCCTCCTTCGGTCCCTCTATTCTTGCCACCCAAGGGGCTCCTCACCTCTGACCAGGACGGGCAGTTCTGCCTGGCCAGTCCCGAGGGCGTTGGTGACTTGGCAGATGAAAGTCGTGTTGATGGACTCATCCACAGTCTGGATCAGGAGCTGTGAGCCCTGGGCCACAGCAGAGGGCGGCAGGGTCCCGTTGGTCCTGGGAGAGACCGAGGCGGGAGGAAGCGGCAGGTGTGAGTTCTCACTGCATACTCATGACGTCTCTGATCTCAGTTGAGAGCAACCCTGGAATTTTCCGACTCTTCCTCTCATACCCACATCCCTCCTAGCAGCAGGTGCCATCCGCCCCATCTGAAAAACCTCTCCAGACTCTGACCACACCACAGGCCTCCTCGGCCACCACCCCAGGCTGATCTCCCTGCTCCTGGGCTGCCACGGCCACCTTCTCCCAGGACTCCCTGCCTCCACCCCATGCCTACCCCACTCTGCCCTGCATGCTGTGGCTGGAGAGATCTGGTTAGAACGAACTTGTTCACCTCCCTTACTGTTCAGAGTCCTCCTGTGGCTCCCACCTCACTCAGCATAAACCCAAAGTGTCTACACAGCCACAGACCCCACACGCTGGCTGCAGATACCACCAACCACACTGTCTGTGACTCTCCCCTCTGCTCTATGTCCACGGTGGCCTCCTTGTGGTCTTTGAATACCCCCACCTCAGGGTCTTTGCATGCTGTTCCCTCTGCCTGGAATGCTCTTCTGGGTATGTGCCCAGCTCATCCTCCTTTCCTTCAGTCCTCTGCTCAGACGTCACCCTAGCAAGACCTTTATTGCCCCCACCCTGATTTCAACTGCAATGCCCCCCCCCACCTCTGCTTTACCTCTAACTCAGCCTTTATCCCCATCTGATGCACTACCGACTTCACAGCGTTATTTTGTCTATTGTTTTCCTCCCCTACTAGACTGGAAGCACCAGGAGGGGAGAGAATTTGGTCTGTTTCATTTACCAAGACATGCTGGCCCATGTGATCTGGCACAGAGCAAGCGTCAAAACGCTTCAGTTTAGTGGACAGAGAAATATGGGTTTCTGGGCATGCGGCATAGCCTGGAAGGAAACCCAGCCCCATGGCTCATGGGCTTGGATCACGGTGCTTTGAAGCAGGATGGGAGAGGCGTCTGCCTTCACCACTGGAAAACCTTTGACCATGATTCCCTTGACTGACCGTAGAGACGTAGCAGTGGCTATCCACAGAGGTGGGCTGGTGGGGGATGGGCACTCCCGTGGCATCTGCAGGGTTGCAAGCTGGGATGTGAGCCCCGTCCACGGTTGGTTAAATAATTGATAGCATATGCATTGGATGGAACGGGGTCCCAGCAGCACTGAAAAGGGTGCTGTGGAGGCTCTGACATGCCTAACAGGTAGAAGACGGATGGATGGGGAGAAGGGACAGACTGATGGACGCGATTGGGCAAATCCAGTAAAAGGTAAGCATGAGAATGCACCGGGTGGGTTCCTGAGTGCTCGTTGGGAAAGTCGTACGTCTTTTCTGTACATCTACAGATTGGCCTGATGAAACGCTGGGGGACATGGCGACGGGGACCTACATGGGGTCACGTGGGAAGGCGATCCTGACAGCGGGAAAGTTTCAAAAAGGTGCCTGTGGCACAGTTTTTGCTGAGAAAGGTAGAGAACAAAAGGCAGGAGGGCTGTGTAACAAAGGGTAGTGGTGTATATTTCTGGACACTTGACTACAGATCTTCTTTTTGCTCATAACCGGATTGTCTGAAGTTTCTACAATGGTCGTAAGTTATTTAGAATAAGAACAAGAGCCCGATAAGGAGCGTGTAAAACAATCGATCCCCTTGCCTTTTTCTTTCCCCGCTCTGCATCCTAGCCTTGGTCTGAACTTGAGGGAATCGGAGTGCTCTGAGCTTCCTCATCAAGACAGTGGGGATGGCACCCACTCTACCAGAAGTGACTGGATGGGTTACACGAGGTGACCGCGGAGGTGGCCAAACCCAGACGTTAGGAGGATCAGTGTGGAGCCACTTCTGCACCCTTGTGGCCCTGGGACCCAGGCAGGTGATGGCACCTAATGGGGCCCGACTCATCTTTAACCCCGGGCATGGTGACGGCGCTGCCTGTGCCTGGGGTGTGGGGGTCACATGGGATAAGGTGACCACTGGCACACAGCAGACAGCCAAAAAGAGCAGGTATAATGGTGAACCTGCCCTAAACCGCCTCATAAACTGTGTGTACGAGACAGAAATCCTACTGCGGCCTAGACTCCACTTCTCTCTTTTCACTTTCTTGTACCAGTCTCCTCCCTGAGACTCAGTGGTCCAGGCCCCCAGCCTCCTCCTCCCTCAGACCCAGGAGTCCAGGCCCCCAGCTTCCTCCTCCCTCAGACCCAGGAGTCCTGCCCCCAGCCCCTCCTCCCTCAGACCCAGGACCCAGGGGCCCATGTCGGCCCAAGTCCACCCAGGACTCACGTGCTCCAGTCATAGCCCGTGGGCTCCGGTTTGCTGCGGACGTCACAGCTCAGAGCGACCTCCCTGCGGCCGAGGTACCAGTTGTCATCAAAGCCGGAGATGGAGACCTCTGGGGGGTCTGAGGGAAACAGACACATAGGCTCAAAGACAGGGACCCTTCAGAGGGGCCTAAAGATATGTGGGAGCATGTCATAACGAGAAAAGGCTTCAGTGGGTTTCAGGAACAGCCCAAGACAGAGAGGGCCGTGAGGAGTCTTGGGTAATGGATTCCTTCAGAGCAGAGAAGGCCAGAAGTCCTTGGCAGGGTGGGAGGTAGTTGGGTGCTGAGAAGGCTTTTGGGGATCTGTTTCTCTCTAGTCATTTTCCTGGGTAGCCAAGTCCTGGAATGGCATGGGTGTCCTGTGAGAAAAGGCCACTTGGACACCCATCACATACAGGAGCACATTCAAGGCTCTGACAAGTCCTGCTGGGAAGAATCCTGGATCACCCTGCCTCAGCTGCTGTTTATCCACCCCAAATATGATCGACAGGGAAGATTTTCAAAGTCCCCATGGGCCCCAGTAGACAATGTGGGGGTGGTGGTGGAGACAGCGGGATAGTGGTCCTTGTCCTTGCTCACATCTGGGCGCACTCACAAGGCACATCGAGAGTCACGGGCAGCAGGATGGGCTCCTTGAAGCTCTCGTGTTCCACTCTGCAGGTGACATGCTTGCCATCTGTCTGGCTTGAGGGTATTGTGATTAAGAAGCTGGTGACGGTGTACGTGCCAGGCTGGTGTCCTGGCACCTGGCTCTCATTGGTCTTCCCATCCAGGTGTGACCAGGAGACTTGGGCGGGTGGGCGGCCCTCACTGGAGACGCAGCGGGCCACAGGCACAGGCTCCGGGCCGAGCGGGCTGAGTGGAACCTCCTCAGCCTCGGCCTTGTTCTCTGGCTGGGCTGCGGACAAGAGCCAAAAGGACTGGTCAGTCCTCACCTGCGGTCTTTCAGCCAACAGCACACCAGCAGAGGGGGGCAGCTAGGTGAGTGCACTGGAGGTCCGGGTTCAAATCCTAGCTCCGTCCCCGAGCTGTTGGGTGGCTAACGGTGTGTCTGTGCTCAGTTTCTTTGTCAATGGGAGATAAGGACAGGATCACAGGCAATGAGAACATGCAGGTAAAGCTCCCAAGATGGTACCTGGCGCATAATACATGCTCAGGAAATGCTGCTATTATTATTGGGAATGGAATACAGTGCCTGACTGGAGGGTGGGCGATGTTGGGGACCCAGCAATGCCCGAGGCAGCCCCCAGCCCTGCCTTTAGCCCTGCCTTTAGCCCAGTCCAACGGGAAGACAGACAGAGCGGCAACCCAGAATGGGCAAAGCTGGGATGGGGGAGCCCAGAAGGGGTGTCTCAATGTTGGGGGAGTGGTGAAGGAAGGCTTCATGGAGGAGGGGAGGGCTGAGCAGTTGTGTGGAGGTTGAGAAGGGAAGACAGGCTTGAGGTCACACAGTTCTACGGGACAGAGCTGGGCTTCCACTCCAAACCCCTCGTGTGACCATCTCTTCATTATTCTGGTAATTCCCAAACCCGGGGCTCCGCTTGGTTCCTTCCTCATTATTACTTGTTACTGTAGTGTTATTATCGACTGGAGATTTCTCTTAAATTTGACTCACTGGTTGTGGGTTTTTTGTCTTTTTTTTTTTGGTAAAATACTGGTAGTTTTAATTTTACACAAAATTTCCAAAACAATGGTTACATAGTATAATAGGCATCTGCAATGAATAGTTTATTCATGGAAATTTTAAGTTAAAATCAGCTTCTAAATTTAAATTAGTCATCTCTGGCTAATGAAGAGAAAAGGAAATCACAGGTGCTGGGAATAATCTACTAGACAATCCAGTTGTCCACTTCTGTTCAAGCAAATTCCCTCTATCGCTTGGGCTCAAGTTTGATTTATTTTGCTTTTCCCAATTTGTGCTTCGCTTGGCACGTCTGATGGATTTCACAGCTGAACTAAGTCTTAAAATGACAGCCAAATGTGCTTTTCAAAAAGGCATTATTTTATAATTTGCAAAATGCCCTTCAATTTTATCCACAATTGGAACACTCCTCATTCCCAGGGTACCAGCGAGGAGGTAGAAGAGAACTCGATTTCCTGGAGGGGAGGCCCCCTCCCAGCCTGCCTCACTGATGAATGTGAAAGCATAGCATGAAATCTCACCCTTCCCTTTCTTTGGGTCTCATTATCTTTTACAAAAATAAAATAAAAGACGTAAGCAAGGTTTAGGGGCTGCTGCAATTTGGCACCTTTCTTTCTGATTAACATAGAGTAGAGGAAGATTGGTCTGGGTCTATCTACTTTGGCGTGGAGCTGGGGAGGGATTCATTGTAGACACGAAAAGCTGTGTTTCCAGTTGCCTCTGATTCGCCTAAGGGATCACAGTAGATGCTGCAGAATGTGGCCTACAACCGGAGGGAAGCTCTCCAAAGTTAAGGAGGTAGATTAACTTTTTTCTTCATGGGCTGCTTGATATTTCCCAGTTGTTACTAAGGTACCAGCATGCTGACATTCTGAGCCCCACCAAGGTGTCCTATCACAATGACCACCTCAGGTTCATGGCCAGCGCCCCTGGCTTGGTAGAGTGCTATCAGAGGCGCCCCCTCTGGGAGTAACCAGAAAGCTCCTTGCAGAATTTGATAATGAAAATGTTCTGATGCCAACCCTATGACCACAGGGTTAGGATGACTCATTTGTGTCTTTTGGAATCGGGTAGTGCCCGATCGTCTAGTAGCATAGGTCCAACTTGTTTCTGGTCTACTAAATTTTTTCTTTTTTCTTTTTCTTTTTTTTTTTTTTTGAGAGAGAGAAAGAGAGAGAGAGCATGAGTGAGGTCTTGTGCAGGGGTGGGATGGGACAGAGGGAAAGAGAGAATCCCGAGAAGTTTCCGTGCCCAGCGTGGGGCCTGACACGGGGTTCGATCTCATGACCCTGAGATCATGACCTGAGCCGAAATCAAGCATGGGGTGCTCCACTGACTGAGCCACCCAGGTGCCCCTCTGCTCTACTAAATTTCTGGCAGCAGCCAGAGGAGAAGTTATCTTAGCGGCAGAGATCTCAAACAACAATTTTTTCCCACCTTTCCAACAGGTCTTGCTTCCTCTCTTGCCTGGTACTCATCACACACCTAACCACAACAGAAGTGCCACATGACCTTTTAAGAGTGTCCCGTGCGCCTGGGACAGCGGCACCTTCAGTGTGAAGTGTGCCCCTGAAATCCGCCAGAACAGCTTTGAAGCCACCACGAGCTGCCATCCTTCATGTCCCCCTCTCCAGCCCCAGCAAAGTCCCCACTAACAGGAAACTCAGTACAGCATCCTTGGAATCCAGCCCGGGCTGCCTGGCAAGCAGTCGCTAGATGCTGGGAGCCCGGCCCCTGGCCCCGGGGCTGCTCACTGGTTCTGGGTTACTCTCAACCCGAAGACCTGAAGTCCCAGATTTGTTGAAAGCGCTGCCTTTGGCTGGGTGCTGTGGGCACCGTTCCAAGGACTTAACGGTGCAGGAGTCAGTCTTGTAAGGGCCTGGATGCCTTCCCAGCACGGGAAGGGAGAGTACCGGTAAGTACGCATCAGCTCTTACTAATCCTCAGGGTGATCCCTCCTTCCCAGAGGTGTAGGGACTTACTCAGTTTCAAAGAGGAAATGTTCTGCTGGGGAATAGGAACCTTGAGTCCATGACAATGCCTGGGGGCATCTGGGCCCATGGTGGGGAAAGCCTCTTCTCCTGGGTGTCAGAATGGCCCTCCTTCCTGTCTGTGTATTTCAACTCTCCCTTGCTCACCAAAGGAAGTAACAATGATTGACAGCCATCAGGAGCTCACAGGGGCCTCTGTTCTAAGGTTCAGCTGGATAAACTCCCGAGACCCTAGGCACAGCTTTCTGAGGACAGCACTCTTGTAACTAACCATACCTTACAGGCGAGGAAAGGAGAGTGTGAGATGAAGGCGTTTGCCAAGCTGGTGGTAGCCAACTGGGAGGCAAACCCTGGCCTCCAGGCTTCCCAGGCCCCTGCCAGGACTCTACCTGTCCCCCCTTCTTATCCACCACCCCCACGCTCTGCCCTCAGTCTGCAAGAGCTTAACCTTACTCTCCAGGATCCCACATCTCTTCCTAGCCTACAGCCCCTTCCCCCCTCCCCACCTCCCCATCATTGCCCCATCTCCTCCTTTGGTCCCCACAAAATCTCCCCGCTCCATCCCCCCGCGCCGCCACGCCCCCCTCTTCTTCCCCGCCCCACCCCCCTCACCGAGCACGCGGAGCCAAGTGCGTGCGCTCCTGCTGCCCTCGGGGAACGTGGCGAAGCGGCAGGTGTAGTTGGCTTCATCTTGGGCGCGCAACCCCCGCAGGGCCAGCGACCCGTCCCGCAGCTCCAGGCCCGGCCTGGCGCCCACAAATTCCAACCGGCCGGGCTCGGGGAAGCTGGCGCCCTGTATGGGGTGGAAGACCGCCACGTTGAGCTCGTTCCCCACTGCATCCTGCCGCGTCCATGTCACCTGCGTCACGTGCACCTCGTGCTCCAGCGGGGGCAGTTTGCAGGACAGCTCCACCGTGTCGCCCAGGAGGCCGCTCACCTCCCGGGGCGCCAGCACGCCAACCGTCCCGGTCCCTGCGGGGCAAACGCGGGCAGGTCAGACCCGGGCGTCCGAGGTCGGGATGCCGAGGGCCGCCCGGGAGGCCACTTACCCTTCCCGGGCTGGACTGGGTCTGCCGCTCCCTGCCTGCGTCTGAGCAGCCTCGCGGGGCTGTGATTACCACATTTCCCCATCGACGCTTTAAACTGTGGTCCATACTGAGGTTAAAAACTTAAATCTGCCATTTAAACCATTTTAAAGTGCACTGTTCGTGCCATTGAGCTGTGCATGTAACTACCACCACTATCTAGTTCCAGAGCGTTTCCATCAGCTCACTGTCATCAAGGCCACTGTGACGCTGTCATTTACAGGAACTCTGACTGAGGGGTGGGAAAAGGCGCAGCATATCTAAGTCCTAGAATCCATGAAATATGATAGTATTATTATTATTGCTATGCATGGACCCCAATTGGGAGAAGGTTTGTAGGGGATCCTGGCACAAGAAGGGAGGCAATTATAACCCAAGGATTTTGGATCCTTCCGATCTCTGCTGTGAGGCTTCAGGCAGGTTACCTAACCTCTCTGATTCTTTTTCCTAGTTTGTAATGTGGGACTAATAACAGTTAACACGCACAGGCTGTTCTCAGTGCTTCACGCATCTCTCGGGGTTTAGTCCTTAAACAGCTCCTTGAAGCAAACAGTACCATCACCCTCACTTTATAGATGGGGAAACCAAGGCACAGAATCGTTTCCTCCAGGTCATAGAGAAGGTAAATGGCCGAAGGGGGATTTGAACCCTGCAGTCTGCGCTCAGGAGTCCTGACCTCTAACCCACCGGGCTCCATATTAAAATCTTTCAGGCTCAGGCGTCAGCACATAGTAGGTCCTCAATATGTCTTGGCGCATACTGCTATTAATAAACACAATGCTGTCCATTCTTACTAGTAATAATAAAGAGAATGGAGGAGGTGGGAAGGAGGTAAGGGTTTTGAATTCTGGTACTGCTAGCAGCAGCTGCTGTGAGACTGTGTGTGGGTGGTGTCACTTCTCTGAATCTCAGTTTTGTCATCTGTAAACTGGGGGTGGTTAGAGCATGATATGGTTGCTGGGTGGACGAGGCAATGAAATCTACCTAGAGGGATTAGCAAGTGCCAACAACTCTGTCAAGGTGAATATTTTAATTATTGTGTTACGAGGAAGAGAAAGCTGGGAAGTAGCAGATGGGTGCCTAGAGCGTGCTGTGTGGAGGAGGGCACGGTTCAGACACAGGCAATTGGAGAGTGGGGAGCCTGCTAGCGTGGGTCTGAATGCCGGCTGTGCCACTGGTGTGCTGTGTGGCTCTGGGTACGCGGGCCTCCTTCTCTGGGGCTTTCGTCCACCTGATGGCAGGTCTCGTCCCTGGCAAGGTTGCCACGAAGACGACATTGGGTGAAGCGTAACGACCACACTCAAGTGCCTCCTCTGTGCCAGACACCAAAGCTGTTTCCTTACAAGTGGCCTCCCCCAACCCTCTCCACGATCCCGTGAGATGCGCACTTGTATTTTCATCCCCATTGGACGGAGAGGCCAGGTGCATCTCTGAGGGTCAAGCCACTTGCCTAGGTCTACCCTGCGCCCCTGCTCCTGGGCACCAGGCTCTCCCGTCCTGGCAGAGGGGGTCTCCGTCCACTATTTTGGTTCACTCATTGGACCAGCTACTTCTTGCTGGTGCCTTGGGCAAGTTGCTTCCCTTCTCCGAATGGAGGCCACAGTGGGGCTCATATTGGGAATCTCCTTAAGAGGTTTGGGTTGGTGGCTCTCTGTGAAGTCCTCGAGCCTTGGGCCCCTCTTTTCTGGAGAAGTGCCCAGAGTTCTGGGAATCACCTTTTGGGAAATGCTGAGATGATCAACTGTGGCTTCCCCAAGTCTGCATTCAGAATTAATATTGTTCATCTGAATTACCATGTCATTATTGTTCTTACCCAGTGCATCCAACTTTGATCGGCATCCACCCAAGAAAGAGTCTTAGAAGGTAGGTAGAATCTCCATCCCCCCATCCCCAACACTTTTTAGGGAAACACTTTTTAGGGAAACAGTTTTAGTTCCCCTAAAACTCTCCTGAGCTCACACAGGTATTAAATGCCAAAAGCTCTTTTGAAACCCGGGCCATCTGACTTCAGAGCTATATCCCCAGGGCCTGGAACATTGTGAGACACTCGGTGAATGTGTGTAGGATGAACTGCCCAGCTGCATGGATAAATGAATGGCCATGACTTAGAGCCATACATCTGGGGTCAGAAGGGGGAAGAGGTTATGTGCTCCTGCCCTCTTCTACCCCCCCGCCCCGCCCCCATCAAGCATTCTCTGATGAGGTCAGTGGGCCCAGCCTTTGGGGTCTGGCCACCGTGAGCAGGAGCAGGAGGTGAGGTGTCCAGGCATGTGTCATTCATTCTCTGGTTCTACCGTAAGGAACTCCTGCTGCTTTCTGGGAGGCTGGGGTCCCTCCCCGTTCTGTTCCTCCAGCCCTGGGGGAGGCGGACCATCCTGCCAGTGCGGGGGGAGAGGGGGAGCCACGGCTGCCACGCCGCGGTGGGGGGAAGTGTCACTTACTGGCTTCCGTGGGCACCCAGGGCAGCGACAGCAGTAACAGCGGCGGCAGCGACAGCAGTAACGGCGGCAGCTCTGGCGGCAGCACCATACTGGCTTCCTCCCGCAGCTGGGTCGCCGCTCCGCCGCTCCGCCGCTCCGCTCCGGACGAGCCTCCTCCCTGGTTTGCTGGGCTCCTTCTCCCTCGCGCGCCGACTGGAAGCTGCAGTCTAGACCCCGAGGCACCCCAGCCTGCCAGAGCGAGCAGGCGCGTGGGAAGTTCCCGGATCTCCCCCCCCCCCCCCCCCGGGGGGGGGGGGGGGGGGGGGGGGCGGCCTCTGCGCCTGCGCCACCCGGGACACCGCCCAGGATTTAGCGGGTGGTTTCTTCTTTTTTATGGAGGCGTAATAAGCACAGTGTTGTATTAATTTCAGGTGTATAGTATAATGATTTAACACTTTTTTTTTAATTTGACAGAGATCACAAGTAGGCAGAGAAGCAGGCAGAGAGAGAGAGAGAGAGAGGAAGCAGGCTCCCGGCTGAGCAGAGAGCCCAATGCGGGGCTCTATCCCCGGCCCTGGGATCATGACCTGAGCCCAAGGCAGAGGCTTTAACACACTGAGCACCCAGGCGCCCCTATGATTCAATACTTACGTACATTTCTCGGTACTCGCCCGTGATAAGGGTGCTCTCAGTCCCCCTCACCTGTTTCCCGCATTACCCGCCACTCACCTCCCCTCTGGCAGCCCCCAGTTCCTTCTCTGTACTGAAGAACCTGTCTCCCCCGGCACCCACCCCACCACCGTGTTTTGTTTCTTAAATTCCACCTAAATGAAACCATTTAGTATTTGTCTTTTTCTCACTGACTTACTTCACTTTTTAAAGGTCAAGGCTGCTAAGGGCCACAGCTGACATTCCAACCTACCATTGGGATAGATCCCGAGTTCTTAACCACCAGGCCCAAACCCTCTGGACTTTGGAGTCAGACAACGCCTGGGCTCATACTGGGCGAGTTGCTTCCCTCGCTTTCCTCATCTGAAAAATGGGCGCGATGACAGGACTCACCTACACAGGAGGGTTTGTAAGGCTAAAAAGTAACTGCTTAGCCCGATTCCTGGTTTTACCGTTTGCACTTGATAGGCGGTAGCTATACCAGTAACAACCAGTATCAGTGTTTTTACAGATATCACTGAATAATCATGTTGGTGAGAACGATGATTCACCCATTCTGCATTCAACATCAATTTATTGAATCAGGCCCTATTCCTGGCACAGGGAAGGCGGCAGAACATAACACAGACAAAAATCTCTGCCTTCGTGAAGCCCACCTTCTACTGGAGGGAAACAGGTGTTAACAAATGAATGCAGAGAACACTGTCCTGTTTGGTGGTGATGATGGTCCCAGGGTCACATACAACAGGGAGAGGGATGAGGGAGGGAGCGAGGGAGGGAGAGAGGAGAGGAGAGAAACAGAGACACTCAGAGGCAGTGATTGGGAAGTAGGGAGAGAGAAAAACATACAAAGAGAGAGACACAAGATGAGAGACTGAGAGAGAGGAGAGGCAGACACAGCATAGAGAGAGATGAGAGAGAACTGAGAGGTGACAGAGAGATGCAGGGAGCTGTGTACTCAGACACAGAGCTTGGGAGATGGCTTTCTCCCCAGCTCTAACTATCCTGGCTATAGTTGGTGGTCCCCTCCGCCTGGCCCTGCCCAGCAGCTCTGACTCTTGTTCTGTGACATTCCTCTATCTTTCTGGGGTCAGAAGGGGGAAGAGGTTATGTGCTCCTGCCCTCTTCTACCCCCCTTTTAGGCTTTGGCCGGTTTGGATGCTTTTGTGATCCAACTTTGGGTACGTGGGCCTCCTTCTCTGGGGCTTTCGTCCACCTGATGGCAGGTCTCGTCCCTGGCAAGGTTGCCACGAAGACGACATTGGGTGAAGCGTAACGAGGCTCCCTTTTAGGCTTTGGCCGGTTTGGATGCTTTTGTGATCCCGCCGACATCTTTGACTTGGAGCTAGTGTTCACTGATGGCGCATGACCATGGGAGGGTGGCTCTGATGCCCGGTGTCTCTCACCCTGGATGTGGGTGAATTTCTGAATGGAAAACACAGACGCTAGTCACTGGGAAATCTCTGAATTTTCTGGCACTCTCGTTCTGGGACGCTGAGTTCTCTCTGAATCCGGAACCTGTGGCTGCTACTGCGTTCCTCCTGTGGACCGTGCTGTCACCCTCCGGGGTTCCCCCTCCTCCAGGGCTCCCCAGCTACCTACCGCACGTGGGGAGCCTCCTCGCAGAGCTTGGTTGGTCAGAGGCTGCCCCCTCCTCCTCTGATGTTTGAGCTTCATATCTGGGGCCCACCTCATCCCGTACTCTACCTCTTTGCCCCTGGACATCTGACTCCTCTTTGACAGGAATGGAGCCTGGGTCTGAAAACAGGCCATCAGAACCCTGGTCCTAAACAACGGGCACGTAAAGGGAATGATACCCACCCTCGGTCACTGAAGCGCAAAAGTGGGTTCAAGGCAGAGCCAAGGGTCAGGGATGTGGTGAAGGTTAAGGATGGAACCAGAGGTGGGGTCAAGAAAAGGGAGGGCTTCGGAATGGGGCTGGGATGACAGGAGGGTCAGTGGGAGAGGGAGGGCCTTCGGTGGCTGGTATTTCTGGTCACCCCCTTGCCCCCAAATAGTTGTGTCAATAGATACTTGGGAAGGCCAAAACACCCATGCTATAAAAATCTCTGAATTCAAGTAAATGTCTTCTTTTAGGTCTGGATGAACCTCAATGAGGGCATCATGGGGTGGGGTGGGGGATTGTTGCCAGTTGGAATGGGTAGGCTGAGGCAAGATGTTCTATCATTCCCTAGACAGCCCCTGCCAGGACCCCTCCCCACCTCTGAGCCCTAGGGTTGGTCTGGGATCTCCTTGGAACCACTCTCCTTTAGTCGAACCGTTCCTGTGTTCAAACACACCATCAGTTTTGAACCTCTCCTTTTGGGTATTTCCATTGCTTCGCCCGTGCAGAGGGAGGCGCCGAGAGAAACCAAGTCCACACCATTTCTCCTGGTGTGGGATGCAGTCAGGTCCACGGTAGTTTCTAGAAGCTGATTGGCTGGGTCCGAGGGCATGCGCACTTGTGGTTTGAGAAGACCTCGCCAGATTGTCGTCCAGTGCTCTTACCCGCAAGGTAGATGGTGGCAGTCCAGGGCTTACCACCCCGGGACCCGCATGACAGTAAACTGGAGCTTCCAGAATTTCAGATGTGAAGCTTTGTCCCAAGGCTTTGACGTAGGAACCTGGAGGCTGGGTAGGGGAGGAAGGGGGAGGGGGGCAGAAAGAGTGGACAGGGTAGAAAAGGGGCAGGGGAGAGGGGAGGGGTGGGGAAGGGAGAAAGAGAGCAGGGAGAGGGGAGGGAGGGAAGGGAGTGGGGGTCCAGAGAGTTACTCTTTTGCTTCAAATTCTGGTTTCACCAATTCGTAGTAGCTGGTGATCCTAAACAACCTGGATCATTTCTCTTGCCTCCTTTTTTTCTCATCTGTAAAACAGAGGATCAAGAAACTGTGTGATGATGATTGAATAAGTTATTTGCAAGTAAGTTATACGGTTAAACAAGTAAATTTGTTCAGGTGGTCCACAAATGGCAGAAACTATTCTTGGTGTCCTGGGGCAGAATTTTCATCTTCTACACTCTGAGGCTAGGCAGGAAAAAAGATGGAAAGAAATCCCCAAACTACCACCACCTGCCTGCCCTTCCCCAAACACCGGCTGGTTACCAGACCACAATCCTGAGATCATTTCCTCTCCGACATCTCCGGCCAGCTCCCTCACGTCCACTGCCTTGCAGGGGTGTACTGGTGCCTCCCCATGGTTGTTCCCTCTTTCTTCTTTCCAAATTCCACAGGCCTCTCACAGCCCAAGGAAGGAATTGAAACCTGCCCTCCCCAGCCTACTTCTACCACTGGTGACTAATCAGAGCCATACCCTCTGACAGGCAGCTCTCTGTATACAACAGAGAAGGACAAGGTCCAGATTGTAGCTCCTACATGACCTGGCCCCTGACAACAGCAATGATGTCACTTCTGCTTTACAAGTCAAAAAGAGCAAAGCCCTTGCAGTCCCTCTAAATAAAGCGCATTTGCTCACCTTCAGGCTGGGACATGTTTCCTCTGTTCTCCACCTGGCAATGGCTATTAACACTTCAGTTCATGACTGAGCCGGCACCTCCTCCTAGAGCCTTCCTGGATCCCCGGGCTAGGCAATCCCTTCTCTGGTGTTTCTGAGCCTCTGAAGCTGTAAGTTCCATAGAGGCAGGGCCCAGGGTGGTGAGAATTCCATTTCCTCATTTCTTTTTTTTTTTTTTTTTAAGAGATGTATTTATTTATTTGAGAGAGTGAGAGAGAGGTGTAGGAAGGGGCAGAGGGAGAGGGAGAGAACCTCAAGCAGACTCCCCACTGAGCTCAGAGCCCCAGATGCAGGGCTTGATCCCACGACCCTGAGATCATGACCTGAGCCAAATCAAGAGTTGGACACTTAACTGACGGAGCCACTCAGGCACCCCAACTTCCTCATTTCTAAAATGGAGCTAATAATAGCATCTACTTTCCAGGGTTTGGGTTAATAAACAGAAATGATGCATTAGAACCCTTTAGCATAAATAATGCCTTCAAGGGACATGGCTACTCTTGTTATCCTCTTAATGTGTTCTCCAGAATAGCTGACCCCTTCCCCAGGGAGCCCTCTTGGACCTCCCCTCCCCAGGCTAGATCTGGAGCCCCCTCTGGGTTCCCACGTCCCAACTTAGACTACTCTGGGTTGTCACCACCGGGAGTGGATCTTTCTTCCCCACTGGACCCTGAACTCTGGGAGGGCAGGGCTGCAGCTGCTGTGGTCAGCCCTGAGGACCCAGTACTGCCCAGCACAGGGCTCTACATGGACCAGGGGCCAGGGGAAGGCATGTTGAATGAATGGTTGGATGGATGGCTTTAGTAATTATTTGATCTGTTATTTGTCTGTTAGTCTTCTTTCCCACCTTAGCACATAAAATTATGTTCCCTGTCAATACTGGAATTTAGAAGAAACTTACTTATGAAGTTGTGTGTGTGAAAGAGAGAGAGAGTGAGAGCAAGCTTGAGAGTTTGGGTGTGTTCCAAGAGGGAAGAGACAGGGGTGGGGTAGGAAGCAGGGAGGGCTGATGACTTGGGCAAGGCATGAGCTGGAGTTTAGACTTTGGAGATGGAGTCTGAACCCCAAGAGGGCGGAAGCCATGTCTGTCTTGTTTTGGGCCGTGTCCAGCATCTAGCCACACAGAAGAGCCTCGATAAATATTCCTCGGGTGAGTGAATGAACCAGGTGTTGTTAAAGTAGCCTAGGAATCTTGCTGTGCCTCTATTATAATTGTTGGTCATGGTGTGTTTTGGACAGGTCTTGAACCGGAAATAAGTTCTTTTTGTCCCTTTCAGGGAGGAGAGAGTCTGACTCATTGCTGATAAGCACGGGAGACAAATATGGGACTGCCGTCACCACTCTATTCTAGACTGGGGAACATCAGTCCTGATACTTGATACTGGCACTCCTTCCTGGGGAGTGGGGGTGGGTTTCCAGAACTCTCAGTATACTACTTAGAGGAGCTACTGCCAGTCTATCAAAAATGGGAACTGAGGGCACCTGGGTGGCTCAGTTGGTTAAGGGTCTGCCTTCGGCTCAGGTCATGATCCTGGGGTCCTGGGATCGAGCCCCATCTCGAGCTCCCTGCTAAGCGGAGAGCCTGCTTCTCTCTCTCCCTCTGCCTGCTGCTCCCTCTGCTTGTGCTCTCTCTCTGACAAATAAATAAAATCTTTTAAAAAATGGTAGCAGAGGAGGCAGGCATCCTGGCAAAATGGATGTGAAAATGGAGAGGAATTATGACCAGAGGTTACAGCTAGAAATTCCATCTCCCTTCTCCCATTTCTTCCTTATTTGACCCTCGAGAACACGACAACCCTTATGGCTTCTGGGATGTATGGAATGCCTGGAGAGAGGAGGAAAGTTCCAGATTTTCTTTGTTTTTGTCTTCTACCTGGATACAAAGTGTGTGATGTCTACACAGTCACAGAGTAAGAACAGGTGCGGGATTCTCAATTTTCTTGTCCTGCATCTCATGCCTTTGACAGCACTTTCTAACCACCCCGCCCCCCCCGGGGGGATGTTGGGATACGCTTGTGCTTATTCTCAGCTCACATTTTCACTGTGGCCCAACTCCTCCACACCTGCCTGTGGGCACAGCCTTCCTCCTAGTCACGCCAGCTTTGTTTTTCCAAGTGTCATTTAAATCCTTGACTTTATGGCTTACATCTTAAGGTTAGATGTATGCATGGGTATTAGACTGGCTGCAAGGAACCGCGGAACTAAGGCAACAGTGGTGTAAGTAAGAAAGAAGGCTGTTTCTTGGGGTACCTGGGTGACTCAGTGGGTTAAAGCCTCTGCCTTCGGCTTGGGTCATGATCTCAGGGTCCTGGGATCGAGTCCCACATTGGGCTCTCTGCTCAGCGGGGAACCTGCTTCCCCCCTCCCCCGCCTGCCTCTTGTGATCTGCCTACTTGTGATCTCTGTCTGTCAAATAAATAAATAAATATTTAAAAAAAAAAAAAGAGGGCTGTTTCTTCTTTCAGGTACAAAGAATCCAGAGGAATTTAAGACAGAACCAGTTGGATGGCTTCACGGTGTCTCTTTCATCTCTGAAAAATGGCACCCATTTTTCAGTGGGATGTTGGTAAACTGGCGTTACAAAAAAAACAAAACAAAAAAGCCCACAAAACCTCTGATTTGTACTGTTTTCCAATTTCCATGGTAAGCACGCTGTAGCAAGGTTCATGGAGCACATACCCTGTGTGACAGAGACAGATCTTGCTGTCGTGGAGCTGACAGTCTAATAGATGAGATAAATATGAAATATTCACACCAACAAACATTTAGTGACACAATGTGGTTAACTGCTATTAAGCAGGACCCGGCTAGGACAGTGTTCCACCAGCAGACTGAATTTATAACAGGGGTCGTCAGGAGGTCTCTTTGAGGAAATTAGCCCAGTTTACTTTTAGGAGTGGGGAGGGACTTCACAAAGATTCTCAGCTGTTCCAGAGGGCAAGGGAAAGGGATTGCTACAGAGGACAGCAGGCCGTGGGCTGGTTTGGGAGGTGGCTTCAGTGTCACCCACTGAGACCTGTCCAGATTTGGAGCTGCAAGAACCAGTTCCTGCCCTGCCACCACCCAAGCAGGAAATGACTAACTTCTTTAACAGTGGAGGGAGAGGGGAGGAGGGATGAGGAACCGCAGGATGCCTGAGGTGACCAAGGAACTGGTTAGATATTAGGGGTTTCTAAGCAAATCTGAGCCCTTGGACAGACCAGGGCAAGGACCCCAGAGTCAGTGATTGACACATACGGGTCCTGGGGGGATTTATTTATTTTTAACAATGAGGAGTTAAGAGTTGCACTGTCTAGTACAATAGCGGCTAGCCACAGGTGGCAATATAAATGGATTAAATTGAATTAAAAACAAAAATTGCGATAATCAGTTACACTATCCATATTGCAAGAGCTCAGTAGCCACAGGTACTGGATGGTGCAAGTACAGAATATTCCCATCACCGCAGAGAGTTCTGTCGGACAGCAATGGTCTAAGGCACGGGTTTTGGAATTGGGCAGACTTGAGTTGAGATCATGCATGGCTGTGTTGCCTCGGGCCAGTCACTTGCCCTCTGTGAGCATCACTTTTATCCTGTGTACTCAAGCACAGTGACCACTACCTGCTACAGAAGGGGGCAGCTCATGAAAGAAGCTGAAGGGGGGGGTCTGGCCCCAAGGAGGGAGTGGCAGGAAAGCGGGTGATTGGGAACAGGGATTTCAGAGCCAGGCAACCTGGCTTGGAGAACAGCTCCCCCTTGTGCTACCCCATGTGACCCTGGGCAAGTCACTCTCTCTCTGAGCCTCCCCTGCTTTGTCAGGAAAACGGAGATGGGTTCTCCTTTCCTCAGTGGGTTCAGTGAAGAAGATATGACCCATGAATCATCAAAGGTACATAATGTAGGGGCTGACACAGAGACAGCCCTTGGCAGACAACATTTGCACCCAGGTCTGCTCCTATCACTGTGAATCATAATGATGTGGTAGGTGGTTTTTTTGTTGGTCACAAAAGCAGGGATGCTCCCCAGCCAAAGCTTCATTCATACTCCTTTCCCCTCCTCCTGCCATCTACCGGAATTCTCTAACAGCTCAAAATCAAGTGGTCAGTCTTATTTACAAATGGGCCATGAAGGGACACCTGGGTGGCTCAGTGGGTTAAGTGTCTGCCTTTGGCCCAGGTCATGATCCCAGAGTCCTGGGATCGAGTCCCGCATTGGGGGGGGGCTTGCTCAGCGGGGATCCTGCTTCTTCCTCTGCCTGCCAATCCCCCCTGCTTGTGCTTTCTCTCTCTACCTCTCTCTCTCTGACAAGTAAATAAAATCTTCTAAAAAATGGGCCACAGACTTTTGGGGCTTGTGACCACCTCCCCCACTTCTCTGTGTCCAGGTTTATTTATTTGTTTATTTTTCTTTTTTTTGAAAAGGAGCAAAAATAAACTGCATGTGTAGAAGACATTTTGGGGTGTCTGCTCAGTTTACAAGGCAAAACCTCCCTGGCTTTATGAGCAACAAACCCCACAGGCAGGGCTGAGCCCCTGAACTCTGCTTGTACAAATCCTCCTGGCCCCCACCTCAGCCACGGGAATGCGACCGTGGTTGACATCTGACCCGAGTGAGCCAATTGGATGCCTTCTCCAGGGGTTTTGGGGACAAGGCGAAGGAATTCAGTGGTCTTAGAAGTTATGGGATTGTGTCTTTCCCCACGTGGATGGAGAAACACTGAGCACGCATGGGCAGAGAGAGAGAGCCATGGATTCTTTACTTCTCATCAAGAGGTGGTGTCCTTTTCCCACCCCTCAAATCTGGACTGGCAATGTGGCTAGCTTTGGCCAGAAGAATGTGGCAGAAATGATGATGTGCCATCCTTTTTTTTTTAATTTTTAATTTTTATTTTTTTAATTGTTATTTTTTATTTACTGATTTTTTAAAAGATTTTATTTATTTATTTGACAGAGAGAGAGATCACAAGTAGGCAGAGAGGCAGAGAGAGGAGGAAACAGGCTCACTGCTGAGCAGAGAGCCCGATGTGGGGCTCGATCCCAGGACCCTGAGATCATGACCTGAGCCGAAGGCAGAGGCTTAACCCACTGAGCCACCCAGGCGTCCCTACTGATTTTTTTAAATTTTATGTATTTGAGAGACAGAACACGAGTCAGGGGAGAGGCAGAGGGTGAGGGAGAAGCAGACTTCCTGTTGAATAGGGGACCCCCCCACCCAACAAGGGAACTTGATCCCAAGACCCTGGGATCATGACCTGAGCCAAAGGCAGATGCTTAACAAACTGAGCCATCCAGGCGTCCCAGGAATGATGACTGCCATTCTTAACCTTGGCCTTCAGAGGCACTGCCCCTCTGCTCTTACTCCTGGAATCCTCCCTCTATCATGTGAACAAGCTTGGGTCGGCCTGCTACAGAATGAGAGATGATGTGGAGGACAGGTGAATTATTCCAGACAATTGTCCTAGTCCAGACAGTCCCTGGGTGACTGCCAACTCATCACAGGTGCATGAGTGGGCCCAACAGAGACCAGAAGAACGGCTCAGCTGAACGCAGCCCAAAATTGTACAAAAATTGTAAGCTAAACCCATGGCTGTCTTTTCAAGCCATTAAACTGGGGGTCGGGGAGGGGGAGAGGTAGTTTGTTACACAGCAAGTGCTAGCTGATAGGTCCTTAGTTTTGTAAATCTTCCCAGATCCTTGTATTAAATTCCTCCTTTTGTTTTTATTGAACCACTTAAGGAAGTATCCTTTGCTTTCAGCCCATGAATTTTATGAAGTATGGACTACTTGTGTAGGTGGCTTCCAGGGATTTGGTGAGCTAGGCAGATGGAGCACCGGCAGCTGGGGTGAGGGAGAGAAAGGCAGTCTCTGGGACTCTCAGCAAGATGGGGACATCCCAAAGACAAATCATCAGGACGGAGGAGGTCTCATCTGGAGCCTCCAGGAACTTCATCTTGTCCCAGCCCCAGGATGCTCTCGTTGCCCTTCCCAGCATCACCTCTGATGCTGACAGACAAGGGCCCACTTCAGCAGCATGACCGTATTCTTTGTCTGTTAGACCTATAATGAGAGAGAGAGAGAGATCGATCGCCATCATCATCATCATCGTCATCATTAATGTGGCAGACATTTATGAAAGGTTTACACCGCCAGGCACTATTTGCCGTGTTTCACTCCCACCGTGTCGTGTAATCCTGCACACCTTCCCTTGGAGGTAGGAATTACTATTATCCTTGTTTTACTGATAAGGCAGAGGGTTAGCCTGGCTTCAGAGCCCATGGCCTTAACTGCAAACAACAGGGAGCTCTCATGGCCGTGGGTGGGTGTGGCGAACGTGTGTGGGGCTCCCCCTGAGCCCATATCCCCTTTCCCCAGCACTGCTCTTCCCCACTGGGAGGGGCAAGACAACCACTCCTGTCCTCATGACCTCATCTCCAAAGCTCCCATGATTGGAAGAGGATGGTTCCTCCTGGTTGACATCACTTCCGTCCATCCTCATACATCCTCGTACGTCCTCGTACGCCCTCATTCGTCTTTGTACGTCCTCATACGTCCTCGTACGTCCTCATATGTCCTCGTACGTCCTCATATGTCCTTGTACGCCTTGGCCAAAATGGTGGGAGGACCGGAAGTGACCCCTCCTCCCTGCCCGTGGAGGCAGGGACTGGATGTCTCATCATGCTTCCTCTCTAAGAACGTGGTTTTGGATGTGGGTCTGGGCTTGGTTCGGGGTGAGCCATCTGTCAGAGGCACGTGGCTGGGCAAGGTGAGTTTCTCTGGTTTAGTCACTTGGAAAATGAGGACAAGAATGTTCCTGTCCCTCAGAGTAGCTGTGACTTGAAGGCTCTCGGCACTTACTGAGGACCCCCCGGGAAGTTACAGCTGCTATAGTGATGAGGATGATGCGGGGGGTCAGGCAACAGCCTGGCCCTCCTCCACCCCTGGAAGGTTCCACATGGGGCTGTGGAACTGGAGACCTGGCCCCAGCCTCTCCCTGTTGATGGACAAGGCCTTTGCAAACAATGTCAGCTTGTAGTACATAAACTATGAAGGCTTGTGTTTTTATGGCAGGAAAAGAGGGAGTGGAGGTGAGGGGTGATAATTAGGAGTGAGGCAGGGATCTGGGTTTGAAACCCTCTCTAGGTGTGGGGTCTGGGGCCAGTCACTTCTCTCTGAGCCTTAATTTCCTCTTTGACAAAAACAAGTTTCTTTCTTATCTATAGCCACCCTTCCTCCTCCCCCTCCTCCCCAACACCTGCAGAGCTCTTGTGGAAATTAAATAGAATAATGTTTAGCAAGCACATAATAGACACTCAATACATGGTAAGATATTACAGTATTACAGTAATAGCTAATACATCTAGGATTGAAATGCAAGTCAGAGAGTAAGTCCATGGCTTTTGTGTCGCTCAGAACACAAACCAGGTCTTTATAGGTGCCTCAAGACCTTGATGCTGTCTCTCCACCCCTACCCCCATTCCCTCTCTGATCTCATGTCCTATTTCTCTTCCCATTCCTCGCACACTCCAGCCACGCTGTGGCTTGCTATGGCTTGAACACACCAGGCAAATCCTATCTCAGGGCCTTTGCACCAGCTGTTTACCCCACTGGGTATGCCTTCTGCCAGACATCCACTGACATCCATCCCTCCTTTGCTCAGTGTCTTTGTTCAGATGTCACTTTTTTGGGGAGGCCTTCACTGACTTAGTTAAACCATTCCCCACCCAACCCTGGCCTTACTTCCCAGCCTTACTCCTCTGCTTAGCACTCATCATTATCCAACATGCTATCTATATTTTACTTGGTCATCATGTAAATTGCTGGTGTTTCTGACTCAGATGCAAGTTCATGAGGTCCAGGACTTCCTGCTGCTATTCCCATGGTTTCTCCAGTGTGGGCAGAGTGTGCACTGGGTTGATACTTGTAGAAGGAATGAATATGGTGTGGACCGCATCCCAGGCACAGGTGTAGATAACTGTAGAAATACTAGCTTGTTTCATCCTCACAACAGCCCCGAGGATGGCATTTTGCAGATGGGAACACTGAGGCACAGACCACAGGAGTGACTTGCCCATGGCCTCACTGTGGGTAAGGAATAGAGCTGGGGTTTGAACCTAGGCAGATGAGCTCCAGAATCCTTCTCTGTCTCTTTGCTCCCCAGTGTCACGTTGGGAGGGTGCATCAGTGTCTGTATCCTATTCCCTGAGTCCAAAGCTTCTTGGATGAGGCTACCAGTTGGGCTTCTGCCTTGCTGCAGAGTGAGTTCTGACTTGTGGAGACTGAGCACGTCAGGCAGTAGACAGGGGCGGAAGACAGCACATACCTTATGCTTTGGACAATGATGAAGCCTATGCCTCCTATCAGCATCGCGGCCCCCACATTTCCAGCCACGAGGAGGGCAATGGCACCTCCTCCTGACACAGAGAGGACGGGGTCTGGCTCGATGGGCTCAGCGTCTGTGGGATCCACGTTGTCTTCTGGGGACCAAGAAGGGGCAAGACTGGAGGAGCCATCCTCCCTCCACAGCCCCGCTCCCATGCTTTCACCCCCTAAATGTGTCTTCAGTCTACCCCCTCTTCCCCACTCTGGTCTCCACTCCAGCCTCCTCCTGGCTCTCCTGCCCTAGTCTCTCCCTTTCCACTTCCCCACAACTAGAACTTGGAGAGGTTTGTGAAAAGATCAGATTTGATCCTGTTCCTCTCCTGCTCAGAACCTTTCTGTGGCTTCCCAGGACCTGGGGAGGAAGCATCCCTCATTTTAGCCTTTGATGCCCTGCCACTTGGCCAGCCCTCCTTCTCTCCTCACCTTTATAACTTAGTTCCATTGGACTCTACTCTATTTTCTAAGTTCACTTCTCTTTCCAACCTCCTGGCCTGAATACAATTTATGCCATTTTCCTTCCCTTGGCCTGGATAATTCTTATGTATCCTAGTTCCAGCTCAGATGTCCCCTCCTCCAGTGGGGGACATCTGACCTCCCTGACCTACTTGCTGGGTCAGGTGGCCCCTTGGGTCCCACATCCCTTGGCTCCCCCACCCCAGTCTTGCCCAAAGTCTTCCTTTGTGGAAGGGTCTGTCCCCCACTGCTCTCTCACTCAAACATCACTACTTGATGACAGGGCCAGGGCTGTCTTCCAGAATGTCCCCAGCACCCCCCAGTATGGGGTGGTCATGTAGTAGACAGCCAATAAACATTTCTAGTACCGCTGATGAATTAATAAAGGGGGTCTTTCTTAATGAACATACAAGAGTCACCTGCTGCTACAGGATTTAAACCTTTTTTTCTCCCAATGAATCACTCCCAAACCAAATCCTGAAGCTCCTACTGGAGCCTGGCTGGGAAGAAGTAGCAGTTCTCTGAGACCCAGCCAAGCCAGACCTTCCATCACCCCTGCCCTTCCCATGCTCTAGACCTTGGCTCATGTGTTCCCTGCTGCCCAGATCCCTCCCTGGCTTCCCTACTGGCCAGGTTCTCTGCACCATTCTAGCTCACTCCAGGCCTCTCGTCCTCCATGCATAAGTACACGAAAAATAATATTCATGAGGATAGCTGCTATCTAAAGGACCTGCTTTCTTCTTCTTTTTTAAAGTAGGCTTGAGTTCACAAGGCCAAGATCAAGAGTCACAGGCTCCACTGACAGAACGGGCCAGGCACGCTTAAAGCACCTGCTTTCTAACAGGTGTTCTGCTGGCCTCACTTATGTATTATTTCTGCTCTTTATGATAGTCATGCGGAGGTATACAGAGTCACTCCTGTTGTCACTTCCTGTTACACCCAGGAAGAAACAGAGGCCCGGAGAAGGGATGTCACTTATCCTAAATCACCTGGCCAGGAAGGCACAAGGGTGGGACTTGAACCCAGGCTTAACCCTCTCCCAGACCACTTTCCTGATCCCAGCTGCCACCTGGGGCTCCACACATGCCACCGCATATAGTTATGGTCACAAAATTAATAATAATATGGATAATGGTAATTGCAGCTATGATACTAACTCATGCTTTCTGAGCACTAGCGTTCAGAAGCACTGGGCACTATGACTTTAAGCTGTTCGCCTCCTTATTGAATGCTCACAGCTACATTTCGGGGTGGGAGCTATTATTTCCCCAATTTATAGATGAGGACACTGAGGCACAGAGAAATCAAGGAAGTGGTCTAAAGTCACACAGCTAGGAAGTGGCGGAGTCAGAATTCCAGTTGCAAAGCCTGTGCTCAGAACCACTCATTAACACCTGCATTGTGTGTGTGTGTTGCAGATGTGTGCTGAGACCTAGAGAAGTCAAGTTCACATAGCCAACAAATTGTTGGAGCTGGGACCCAAACAACTGATTCCAGATCCCGAACTGAGCTTTCATTAGAGTTCATCTCTGTGAGCTGCAGCCTCTGTAAAATGGGCTAATAGTCCCCACTCTGCCAGGCAGATGGAAGGACAGGACGACATCTTGGCTAGAAAGGCACTCAGAGGGGACTGCTGTGTAAGTGACTCAATGCAACCGAGGAGGCAGAAGTCTGGGGTGGGAGTGGGGGACTCACGTGGCAGCGCGAGGGTCACAGGAGAGGAGGAGTACTGTCCCTGGCTGTTCTTGGCTGTGCACACGTAGGTGCCCAGATGCTCCCAGGACAGCCTCCGGATGATCAGCCTAGCCCCAGTCTGGTAGGGCTCCCCATTGAAGGTCCAGTGCAGCACAGGTTTGGGGGTGATGGAAGAAGCCAGACACTCCAGGATCACTGAGTAGTTTAGGTCACTCTGGATAACGCCCTCAGAGTCGTAGGGGAATGTCAGCAGCATCACGCCGTTGGAGCTGGCTGTGTGAATGGAGAGCATGGTCATGTGGTTGGGGAGCACTCACAGAGCCCAAGCACTTCTCTTGTCCAGCATTCATTCATTCATTCATTCATCAACAAGTGTGTTTGGAGTTTCTGATCGGTGTCCAGTGCTGCTCCAGACACGGGGCCGTAGCGTAGTTGTTGGCACCCCCGTCCCAGCCCCTCACCCTCACCACGTCCAACGGCCACATTGCACCTGTTGCCCGGGCACTTTCTTCGGCTGCCAGAGCCTGCTCCGGCCAAGGAGGGAGCAGGCCAGAGAATTGGGAGATGGGACCAGCCAGGGCACTGCGCTATGACTGGCATGGGCTGGTGTATAAATATCCCAGCTGCCCATCCCTCAGCTGGCCTAGGGCAAGGCCAAGGACCTGGAAGGAGTGGCTGGATTCTGGATCAGTTTGAAAGCAGAGCCCCCAGGATTTGCTGATAGATTGGAGAGAGAGAGAGAGAGAGGAGTCAAGGGAGGGCCTCCAAGGCTTGGGACCTGTGCCACTGGCTGCTGGGAACCCTCTTTATAGAGATGGGGCACCCATAACAGTTCTGTTTCCAGGTTAAAGACTTGAGGTCCAGGGGTTCTTAGACCCAGGTTTTGTGGTCAGAGAGGCACAGTGAGTACTTGGACCTGGAAGTCTGATGTCGTGGTGAGTGTCGGGAGCCGTCCCACTGAGCTGATTGTCAGTTCCAGTGCAATGTGATAAAGTGAAAAGAACTTTAGATCCAACCAGGAACTCATGGAAGGCTTCCTCGAGGAGAGGGTGTCTCAGCTAAGCCTTGCAGGAGGAGAAAGAGCACTCCAGGTGTAGAAAGAGCACTCCAGGTGTATCTACTTGGATCTGGCTCTTACAAGGAGCCAGACACCATTCCAAACACATGCTAACTCATGGCTGGTTATGAGTGAGTGAGACCCATCCATGCTTGGACGAAATCATTTAGGAAGTTATAATCAGTGTTTGAAATGTGATATGAACTATAATACAGAAAATATCAGAATGCATTGTGCATAGCAATAACTTATTTTATGACACGTGTCTTACTCATGTGTGTGTGTCTGTGTGTGTGTATGCGTGTATGCATATACACTGGATCACGATGTGAAGTTCATTTCTCACGGTGGGTCATGATCAACAAAGCCTGAATGAACACCAGATTTACTCCTGAGATCCTCAAAACAACCCTATGGGGTAGGTTCTACTGTGACTCAGTTTTATAGATAAGGACACTGAAGTACACAGCTGCGAAGTCAATTTACAAGGACACCTGGCTGGTCAGAGGTGGAACACCACATCTTTGTTTTGCAAGGCCGTCCTGGTTTCAGAGTCTGCACAAGCTCTGGGCTGAGCATGGCCTGGGCATGGGGGACCTCTACCCCATTTGGTACCCTGAAGATGGTGCTGGGCTAGAGAGGTCATGGGGGAAGGAGATAAGCTCCAGGACCATAAAAAGTCTTATAGATCCAAGCTTGGCCTTTGGCTTCTAGGTGACCACAGGCTATTGACATCACCTCTTGGTCTTAGTTCCCCACCTGTGCAGTGGGGTTGGTGCTCAGAGCATCTGCTTTCTCAGGTCATTGTGAAATCCCCTGTGTTTGGTATGTAGTGAGAGCTTAGTAAGTTGGAGCCAGTCCGTCCTGCATTTTGGTGTTTACTTCAGCTCACCTCTCTGTAGGAGCACTTTCTCCCATTCGGCCTGGGGCCAACTCCTGCTCTGCCTACAGGTCCCGGCTCAGATGGCCCCTCCCCTGGTGAGCCCTACCTGTCTCCTAGGCTGGATTCTCCCATGTCTCTGCTCATGAGCCCAGCCTCACCCAGGACAGAGAAGCACTGAAAGAGGATTTGATGCATACGCAAGAATCAGTGCTGGTAAGTGTTTTTTTGAGTGGAAATCTCAGGCCCTGCACAGTCAGTGCTGCAGACCACCAGCTCTGCCCACCTCCCAAAGCCTCTCATGGCCCACACCCCCTACACGGCTCTGCTCCCAATTTCTTATGCTTCCCAGATCTCTGTTGACCCTCCAGCCTTGCCTACACTGGTCTCTCTGCCTGAGAACTCGGTCCCTTTGGGCCCCACTCACCCAGGTCAGCTATCTGCTCTGTTGCACTCCTGCGTCCTCTGTTGGTTTCCAGCACTGCTTCTTGAGCTGTCAGGTTTCCTATGATCAGGCTGCTTTGGGTGTCCGGCGTCTCCTGGCTTGTTTGTTTGGGCTCCGGGAGGCCCTCAGGAGAGAAGATCATAGTCTCTGGCTGGGCATTGTGCCCTCGGAACCAAGAAGTGGAGAGAACATCATTCAGGCTTCCGGGGACAGGCAGGCGGGCACTGGCTCCTTCAGTCAGGGCATCTGGAGATGCAGGGGCGGGCAGCTCCAAGGAGGCAGAACAGGTGCAGGAGGCGATCAGGATGCCTTGGAGGAGGTAGGAAGGGAGAGGAGAGATCAGAGGGAGCGGATGGGACCAAAGGCGAGATGCTGCCCCAACAAGTAACCCTTTCCGAGCTGGCAAAGATTGTGGCACATTGAGAGTCGAAAACAGTGATGATAACAGAGATAGTGTACGGGGTGGGGCGTGGGGGTGCGGGCGCCTGGGTAGCTCGGTCGGTCACATGTCTGACTCTTGACTTCTGCTCAGGTCATGATCTCAGGGTCCTGGGCTTGAGCTCCGTACTCAACGGGGAGTCTGCTTGAGGATTCTCTCTCTCCCTCTTCCTCTGCCCCTCCCCCTGCTTGTTCTCTCTCTCTCTCTCTCTTTCTCTAAAATATAGAAATCTTAAAAGAAATAAAAGGAAATACTCACTGAGAACCTCCCACAAGCCAGACACTGTTCTAAGCACTGAACCTTTATTATCTTACTCCTTCATCGACGCCACCAAGCACACATTACTCAGGGAATCCTGCCGATTCATTTTCTGACCTTCTCTGCCCCGTTCTGCTTCCTGGAAGGCTGACTTCTTTGATCTGCATTGTCAGGTCCCTGTGTCTTCGGGTTGGCTTTTGCCAATGGGAGTGACCTTGAGGTAGATGGTCCCCCAACTCCCTCCCTCCTCCATCAACACCAGTCAGCCGTGTCCCTCTATTAGAGCTCCTGGTCCCTCTCCATATACCATTGTCTTTGGGTTTGGGGGGTCTGGTCTTCCTCTTAGGGTTTCTAGCACAGAGGAGGTAAGAGCTTTCTGCCATGACTAGCCTCTGGGTGCTGCATGATCTCAGATGGGTTTATCTATGCCCTGTCTACACCTCTGCAAATAGTCCCTTTTTTTTTATCCTCCCCCACCATTACTCCTTTTGAGTAGACCATTTTCCTGCCTCAACCCTGAATGACACAACTATTATACCCCCAGGAGGCCTGAGGAAATGGAAGTTCAGAGACCTGAAGACCATTGTCTAGGATGTCCTAGGTGGTAAAAGCGGGGCTGTGATCCACAACCAGGCAGGCAAAATTCCGTCAGTAAAGTAGACGGTGAGTGTGCCCCTATCATCCCCAGTCGCTCTCACTTCCTTTAATTAAATTTCCATGTGGCTTAGTGCTTGGAGTGAAATCCTTGGAGTCTGGCTTCAGACCCTTTGCACATACCCAGCCACCCCAGTCTTCTGCCTCTCATTGGATTGGTGGCTGTTGCAGTAAGAACACAAGGTCCAGCCATAAAAGACTGAAACAACTGAGATGAAAATGTAAGACTTTGGCCAAGTGGAAAAAAAAACCCCAACAACAAATAACCACCCACCAATCAAAAGAACAATGACATACCAGGAAAGACGGTTTGCAACAGATCTCAAAGACCAAGGGCTCATTTCACTAATATGTAAAAAGCTCTGAGATATCAGTAAGAAAAATAACAGCAACCTAACAGAAACATATACAAAGAATATGGGTAGGCAATTCATAGAAAAGAAAATTCAGATGTGTCAACATTGGGAAAATGCTCAGTCGTGCTTATGGTAAGAGAAATGCACGTTATTATTATTGTTTTTAAAGACTGTATTTATTTATATGACACACACACACACACACACACAGAGAGAGAGGGTGCGCACAAGCAGGGGGAGTAGCAGGCAGAGAGAGAAGCAGACTCTCCATGAGCAGGGAGCCCAATATGGGACTCGATCCTAGGACCCTGAGATTGTAACGTGAGCCCAAGGCAGATGCTTTCCCAACTGAGTCACCTAGGTGCCCCTCTGTATCCTTTGATCCTGAAATTGAATGTCAGGGAATGTGTTCTACAGATACACTTTCTCAATATAAAAGGACTAATGGGCAGGGTTCTTTTGCCACACCTTAGTTATAATGGCTAAGGATTGGAAATACCCACGTGCCCACCCATAGGGAACCGGTTTAATAAGTTATGGTCCGTCCACACAGTGGAATGATACACATGTACAAAAGGAGGAGGAAAAACTCCAGAATGGCATGAACTGGGAAGGAAAGAGCTCCAGCGTATGTAGTTAAGAAACAAATGCGTGCTGCTGGCTAGTTCTTATGGTGTGCTACCTTTGGTGTAAAAACGGAAGAAAAGTAAATATATAGTTGCATTTCTTATAAACATGCAAAGGAGCCCCGGAAACACAAAAACAGTGGCTCTCTGTGTGTGACGGCGGGGAGAGAAGGGTCAGAGGTACTGGGTAAGTAGACAGAGACGTCACAAGGTCTTTTCTATATCTTTGAGATTTGAAGCGTTGGAACGTACAACCCATTCAAAAATTAAAGTTTGAATAAAGGAAATAAGAAAGCATAAATGTTCTCAGTAGTCTTTTATACATACATGCACACACACACACATGTACACACACACAAATGCACACACACAGGAGTGTAAGATCCAGAACTGGACTGCGAGCGTGTATGTCCTGAAAGTTATTAACTCTAGTGACTTTGGGAAAGTTACTTATCCTCTCTGAGCGTCAGTTTCCTTATCTATAAAATGGGAATAATAATGCCTCCAGTGATTTTCAACTGGGGATGATGTGCTCCCCGCAGGGGACATTGTCAATATCTAGAAGTCTTTCTGGTTGTCATGATGGTGGGGGGGCTGCTACTGGAACCCAGTGGGTAGAGGCCAAGGAGGCTGCTCGGCCTCCTACCATGCTCAGGACAGCCCTGGTGACAAGGAAGCACTGGACCCCAAATGCGAGTAGTGTCGATGTTGAAAGTCCCTGATGTTATGCTTGTAAAGGGCTTAGAACGGTGTCCCAACAAGGTGACAGCCAGATCAATGCTTGACATTATCATTATCATTACCATCACTGTTAACCGTTCTTGCTTCTGTAATCGCAAGTCCTCGGTGTGCTGTAAATACGACTTTTAAAGATGAAAAAAAAAACCCCAATACAATAAGTGGTTACATTTTAAGGATCAGAAATATAGGACGCTGTTATAGGGGGTTCTGGATGGGTGGGACTCACTGCCCCCCTCGTACCTCCACTGATTTTTATCTCTGAGTGGGCAACTGGTATGTTTTTCTTTTTAAAAAAAATATTTATTTCAGGGCACCTGGGTGGCTCAGTTGTTAAGCGTCTGCCTTCGGCTCAGGTCATGATCCCGGGATCCTGGGATTGAGCCCCACATTGGGCTCCCTGCTCAGCGGGGAGCCTGCTTCTCCCTCTCCCACTCCCCCTGCTTGTGTTCCCTCTCTCGCTGTGTCTCCCTCTGTCAAATAAATAAATAAATAAAATCTTAAAAAAAAAGATTTATTTATTTGAGAGAGAGAGTTGGGGAAGGGGCAGAGGGAGAGAGAATCTCAAGTGGCCTTCTCCGATGAGCACGGAGCCCAACACGGGGCGTGATCTCACAACTGTGAGATCATGACCTGAGCCAAAATCAGGAGTCAAACACTTAACCCACGGAGCCACCCCGGCACCCCTGGTGTGACTTTTCTGTTCCCCTACTCATAAGCCTTCCGTGGCTCCCCAGTGCTCTGAGAACACAGCACAGATTCGCTCACCTAGCACCCTCCTACATCTCCACGCCTGTCTTACCACTCTTCCCTCACTGCATCAGGCAGACTGAGCTCTGTGCAGTTGCCCCGGCCTCCAGGCCTTGGCACGCGTGGGTCCCCCTACCTAGAATCTCTTCATCCAGCTGTGATTCCAGGTTCAGCCCAGGCACCCCCCTTCTGAACCCCTCCCTGACCCTCAGGGATGCTTGGTGGTGGATGCTACAGTGTCCAGGCAGTGACCTCAGCAGATGGAGTGATGGGAGCTCTCAGGGTGTCGCTTTTTTTTGATGGAAAAAAATCTGCATTCTTACCCTTTTATGAAACAAAGGGCACAGGGATGCAGTTTGCAAAAGTGACATCACATTTCCCTGAGCTCTTATTTTGAAAGGGTCTTCCCTGGCCAGCTTTGTCTTCTTTGGGCCCCCACATTCCTACCCTACCCACTCGGGGATGGGTCTCTTTTCTCTGGACCATGAGCCCCAAGAGAGCAGGGGTGTTTGTTGAATAAGTAATTGAAGTGGAAGATCTCTGGTCACCGGGTCTGCAGTTGGGTGTGAAGTTCTGACTCTGACACCATTGCAGGTCCCTGATGATTCCACGAGTGTCCCCGAGGCTCCTTAAGGAGACCTCCCATCTTGGGGACCCTTCCTTCAGCTGTTGTAGAATCATGGATTCAGGGGCACCTGGGTGGCTCAGTGGGTTAAAGCCTCTGCCTTCGGCTCGGGTCATGATCCCAGGGTCCTGGCATCGAGCCCCATATCTGGCTCTCTGCTCAGCAGGGAGCCTGCTTCCCCCCCTCTCTCTGCCTGCCTCTCTGCCTACTTGTGATCTCCATCTGTCAAATAAATAAATAAAATCTTTTAAAAAAATTAAAAAAAAAAAGAATCGTGGTTTCACTTGGAGACTTGGAGGCCACTGGAGCCTGGCTTGTAACCCTGACTCTGCCACTTATTATTTCTGGGCTCCGAGCCTCAGTTTCCCCGCTCACCTCAAGGAAGGTGCTTGATAGTAATCATTTCCCAGCGGTGTCTGACATTCAGTGAGATCATGAATTTTCAGGGCTGGGGACAGACTCATTCAGGTATTATATAGATTTTATATATACACACACAGATATTTTAAGTCTGCAGGATGAAGGATGGAATTTCAGAGGTAGAACCATCGAGATGATTCCAGAACTCTTAGGTTTTAGGAGTGTGGCTATTTCAGTCAGGGACACTTCCCGAATCGGCAGTTAAATGTAGAGACACGGGCGAGACGTTATACTTGACTTCCTCGGGCTCTCAAAATTTCCACAGAGGTCCCGGAGGCTGAGGACGGAAGAGCAGCTGCCGAGAAACTCCATGCCTGGCTGAGGTCTCAAAACAGGGATTACGTCACTAGCTCTGCTGGCCTCTGCCACTCCAGCCCTTGCCAGTCTACCGGAATGGAGGCCAAGAGCCCCTGGAGAAGAGGGGGAGGCCCAGAGTGAGGCTCTCTGGGGGAGAGTTGAGAATGAACTTCGAGCCCTCCCCCCAGGGGTGAAGGGAGTCCTGGGGCTTTCCTCCTCCCCAGGCCAAGTGAGGGCGACTCCAAGGGAAACTGTCCCGGGGAACTAGAAATGCGTCAGCTGGAATTTGCAGGGACTTAGACCTCTAGGTATCCAAGTGAGGGATGGAGAGGGAAGGGCCTGCGGGGCTGAGGGAATGGAGGCCAGAGTGGAAATGACCCACGCCTCCAGCGTTCCATGGGACAACAGAGGTGTCCTCGTGTTTCCCATGAGGTAGCGGCGGATGCCTCCGCAGGGAGCCAGGTGGAGGCTGTCTGGCAAAGACCCTCATGGGACGGGGCTCCCAAGGGGCTGACCTTGGCAGAAAGAGGCTGGAGGGCACTGGAAGATGGTGGCAAGCCTCTAGTGGGGCCCAGTTCATGGAGCCCCAGGAACATAGTCTGCAGTGACAAGGGTCCTCAAAGTGTCCCCCCCCACCCCCCCACAGATCCGGCAACGGTGCCTCAACCATACAGAAGGCCTTCACTCTTTACAAGTACAGTAGCTAAATAGAAGCTTTCCTTCCCCCTTCCTTGCCTTCCTCCTCTCTGCCCATGGCCCTGAGGAGGCCACAGACCACATCTCTGGGTGGGGAGGAAGGACACACAGAGAAATCGGCCCGAGGCCCACCATGTCCCACTACAATCTCACTGTAGTCAGACACAGGCCTGAGCTGGGGATGAGGCGAAACTTGAAATAGGGTGGCGTTTGGGGTTTTGAAACTACGTGGAACCAGACCTTTTAAGACCTGGAAAAGGAGGCAATTCATTTACTTTCTGAGAGGTGCGTGTGCGTCATCTTTGGAAAGTGTGTTCTTGGTAGTCAGACCATCTGGGTTCAAATTCTCCCTCTGCCACTTCTAAGCTGGGTGGCCTGGGGAAGGCACATAACCTCTCTGTGCCTCAGTTTCCCCTACCATAGAGTGGAGATCATCCAGCCATTGCTTCATAGGGTTAAGAATTATATGTTACAACATGAAAGCACTTAGAACAGAATGGCATGGAGAAGTCAGTCACGTGACCTCTTGATATTACGACTCTTTATTTTATATTATTTTTTAAGATTTTACTTATTTATTTGAGAGCGAGAAAGAGCACGGGCAGGGGGAGGGGCAGAGGGAGAAGGAGAATCCTAAGCAGATTCCCCACTGAGCAGGGAGCCAGGCACAGGGCTCCATCTCAGAACCCTGAGATCATGACCCTAGCTGAAGGCAGATACTTAACTGGCTGAGCCACCCAGGCATCCCTATTATTATTATTATTATTATTATTATTATTAATTTTAAAAGAGATTTACTTACTTATTTGAGAAAGAGAGCATATGAGTGGAGGGAGGGACAGAGGGAGAGAGAGAATCTTCAGTCAGACTCTGTGATGAGTGTGGTGCCCCAGGAGGGGCTCCATCCCATGACTCATGAAATTGTGACCTGCTCTAAAACCAAGAATCCCACACTCAACCAGCTGAGCCAGCCAGGTGCCCCTATCTTATTACTATTATTTAAAAATTATTATTAAATGTAGCTAGCTGGGATGAGCCATGGTGCTCAGTGAAAAAGGGCTGGGTGGGGGTGGTCCTGGTCCTGAGTTCTGATTCTACCCTCCCCAGCCTGCAATCTTGGACAGGTGACCCCGCCCCTCTCCAAGCCTCACTTCTTTCCTTGGTAAAAAGGGTCAAGCCTGGGTGGCTCGGTCGTTAAGTGTCTGCCTTCAGCTCGGGTCATGATCCCAGAGTCCTGGGATCAGGCCCCGCATCGGGCTCTCTGTTCAGCAGGAAGCCTGCTTCTCCCTCTCCCACGCCCCCCTTGCTTGTGTTCCCTCTCTCACTGTGTCTCTAAAAAATCTTTAAAAAAAAAAATAAAAAGAGCACAGCCTCTTGGGGGGACCTCAAGAGCTCTTGTGCCTCTTTCAACTGACTAGAGGCAGAGCTCTGAGAGGGGGCAACTCTGACTTGGATAGAGACTCTCCCCGGGGGTGTCCTCTCCCTGTCCCCAACCTGTGGGTGAACCCATTGTTCCTTACGAACCTGTTAGAAGTAGCCCCTTCCAGGCAGAGCTGTGGCCCGGTCTGGCGTCCAGAGGACACCTCATGCTGCGTTCTGTCCAGGTGTGGCGTTGCGCAGGGGAGGTCACCCTGTCAGGAGTGGGGCCTTCTAGACTTCACAGTCAAGTATGTGACTTTGGCCCTGCCCCCATCCTGGCCACACCCCTGCTTCCCTGCCTGGCTCCTGCTCTTGGCTGGGGATTCACCTCCCAGACCTGCACTCTTCTCCATCACTAGGTTAATGGTAGTGGTGGGTGGGGAGCATGCAGGGATGGGATTCTGGGAGGAGAGGTTCTGGGGTTTTGCTCTCTTCCCTCCCTGCCCCCCTTTTCCAGCCCTTCTGCCATGGAGAATGATGAAGATGGAGGGTGGGGCGGAATTGTCCCACCTCTGTCACTTCACACCAGAGAGGAATGGCCAAAGGTCATCACGTAGGAGGTGGCAGGGGCCTCTCTTGCCTCCTGACTTGGCTCCAGACTCCATGACTATCAGCTCGGAGTCTCCACTTTTCTGCCCTGTAAAATGAGGGTGCTGACGATTGTGCCTGCCTCAGAGTCAGGGGGGCCCAGGGACATCAGATGCCCAGCAGAGTGTCTGGCATAGAGTAGGTGCTCGATGAATGGCAATAGCTATTAAAATAATGCGAAGTATTGGGGCGCCTGGGTGGCTCAGTGGGTTAAGCCTCTGCCTTCGGCTCAGGTCATGATCTCAGGGTCCTGGGATCGAGCCCCGCATCAGGCTCTCTGCTCAGTGGGGAGCCTGCTTCTCCCTCTCTCTCTGCCTGCCTCTCTGCCTGCTTGTGATCTCTCTCTCCATCAAATAAATAAATAAAATCTTTTAAAAAAATAATGCAAAGTATTGTTGTTGGTATCCAGGATGTCCTGGAGGCATGTTCAGAAGCCCTTTCTTGGGGCCTTGCTCATACTATATCCTGAATTTGGATTCTGGAAGGATAAGCCACAAAAGCTCCATTCTCTCATCCTTTGGACCCATTCTTTCCTCCTCAATAGTTATATCACTCAAACAGATAGCTGGCGTTTATTGAACATCTACCATATGCCAGGCACAGCACTTGACCTTTAAGGATTGTTGTTTAGTTGAATCTTCATAGCAACCCTGGGGAGTCAGAATGATCGTCCTCACTTTCCAGTGGCTCACAGAGGCTAAGTAATTCACCTAACCTCACACAGCTATTCACAATGGCTTTTGTCAGTTCTTGGATGGAGTCACCTCAGGTCCTTAGCACTTGCTGCTGTCTTGCCTTAGCACCTTTCACAAGTCATCTCATGGCTGATTTCGTCTCATTGTTCCATTCTCAAATCAAATAGCAACTCCTCCAAAGGGCCTTCCCTAATGCCTGCACCAGGGGAAACCCCAGCTTCTTGCTGGCAAGATACACTGTTTTCTTTTCTTTCCAAAAATTGCTACTGTCTGAAATGATTCATTTCTTCATTCACTTGTTTATTCTTTATCTCCCCATTTCCACACCCTATTTAGAACATCAGGAAGGTAGGGGTTTTGTCCAGATTTTGTCTGGCTGTGTCCACATTGTCTAGGACAGTGCCTGGCATATCACAGGTGCTCAGTAATTTTTTTTTTTTTAATAGTGAATGAACAATGAATAAGTGAGTGAGTGTCATGGGAGTGTTGGAATTTGAACTCCTATCTGACTCAGCAGCTCATGCTTTCCCCTCCTGGTGAGGTCCAGGTTTCTTGTCTGGGGCAAAGTTTCACCCACAAGTCTTTGAAAATAGTCTTTATCAAGTGACTTGGTGATATCTTTATTAGCATTCCCCACACTGCCTTTTGTTATGACTTTTATGAGGCCTTGCTGGGGCGACTAACCAGGCCACAGGACTACCAGCGGGTGATAAGCAAATATTTGCAACACGATTAATAACCATCCGTGGATGAGGAGTCTGGGGTTCCAGCTTATCTAGCTTACTGACTCTTTTATTGGGGTAACAGCATCTGGATTTTGCTTTGAGAAACCAGCCTTCCCACGGTTCCAGGGAGAGGAGGCCTGGGTCTGGCTAATCAGAGCATTTCTTCTTCCAATCACAGTGATTGGGGGAGGGTTGGGCACGTGACCCAAGCCTAGCCAATAAGAGCATTTCAACCCCGGGCTTCTGTGATAGCTGGGCGCACCACCCACACAGGCCCAGGAAAATTAAACAGAGGACTTCTATTGGAACTCTGGGGAGTAAAGTATTTTCTTTCTGTCTGCCTTGCAAAGCTGAAGGGACCTAAATGTGGAGCAGCTGTGGGTTTCTTTCCACCATGGCTACAAAGGCCGCCTAGAAGGAGGCCAACACAGAAGAAAGCATAGCGAAGAGATGAACATATTTCTGATGACATCATTTAAGCAGCTAGATCCAGTTGTGCCTGAAGCTGGTCTAATCTTTCAGCTTTTGTGTCATCTGAGGCTATAGATTCCCATCAATCTTCATGGAAGTTTGATTTGGGATTTAGTTACATGCTTCCAAAGGAACTCTGATGGAAAGGAAAGGTGAAAAACAGAGTTTTTTTGAGAGCGCGTGGTTTGGGATCTAGTGGAAACTGAGGATGGGTAAGGGATGCCCTGGGGGGAGGAGGAGGATTTAGCAGTCTGCGTTTCCCAAACCTCAGCCTTTCTTATACCACATCCTAATTCCTCCCATAGTCACACCCCATCTGCACTTTTATTTATTTACTCAATATTTGACTTTAAAACGACTTAAATAAGCTCAACTCAGTTTTTAAACAACACCACCCACAAAATTACACACTAATAGGCTACTTTCATCATTGCAGATGACAGCAAAAACATAATGATGAAATGAAACATATCTGTCCACATAACTGCAAATTTGGGTGTGTCGCTGAAAGAACATGAGCCCTGATTTGTTGCACAACGATATGAAGATACTTACTGCTGAGCTGTACCTTTAAAATGGTTAAGATGGTAAATTTTATTTCATGAGCTTTTTTTAAAAAAACCATTAAAAGTTTTAAAAATTATTTAAAGAAAAAAGACAAGGAACAGACATATACGTAGCTTGTCTTTATCGTCCAGTCAAGGTCAGATGAAGTTGAAATCAACCCTTGCTGGGACTCCAGGAAATAGCTAAGTTACATTTGCAGAAATCATAACAAATCATCATCAATCCCATAGATAATTTGGGGAAGGGATTAATCAAGTAGGAAAACAGCATGCAAATGGCAGATACAACATCTAATGAGTCATTCTCTTTCGTTAGAGTCAGATAGCTTAACCAATGGAGCAAGTTCAACCTGGCTAGTGATGTCATGTGAATATTATGTAGGCCCTGAAGTAATATGATAAGAAGGATACTTCAAGAAGAAGGCGGAGGAGGAAAAGAGGAGGAGGAAGAAAGGGGAGGGGGTGTTGGGGAACAAAGGGGAGGAGGAGAAGACAAAGGAGGGGGAGGAGGAGAACGATGTGGAAGAGGAGGAGGAGAAGAACCACTTCACCTAATGGTATTCTCCCCACCCCCAAACCCAGAACCCCAGTCTAAGTGTGAGAAAAATTTAGACAAACCCAAATGGAGGGATATTCTACAAAATACCCTGTGTTCCTTAAAATGATCATGACCATGAAAAAATAAGGTAGGACTGAGAACTTGTCACAAAGGAGACTCAGGAGACATGAAAACTAAATGTGACATGGGATCCTGAGTGGGGTCCTGCAACAGAAGAAGGACATTAATGGAAAAATTGGTGAAATTTGAATAATGTCTAGAGTTAAAAAAAGAAAAAGAAAAAGAAAAAAGAACATGAGTTCCACTTGGAGGAGAGAGTCCAAAGCCAAACCCTGGTAAGGCACGCTCACTCCAAGCCAGCTTCACTTCCTCCGGTCCTGGGATGATGAGTTTCCTGAGGCACAGATTAGGTCCTATATTGCTGGCAACATCATCGTTCAGGTCTCTTGGCGTGCGGGTGTGTGTACGCGCATTGCACATGTGCAAGGGTGTGATGTGTTAGAGGGGAGCAGTAAAGCATCATTTCACTAATAACAGGACAAATAGCCAGTATTGGGGGGCTCTGGACAAAGATGAATTACAAAAGGCAGCTGGAAGGCCGACAGGACCCTGTATCCCGCCAGGGCTAGGTTTGGATAGAGTGAGGTCCTATCCCATGTTTTTCCTGTTTCCATGGAAGGACTGGTGCCCCAGCTCCTTCAGGGGGGTTGGAAATATTTGTCTACATTTTGGTTGTCACCATGCTTGAGGACAGAACAGTACTGGTGTTTACTGGGCTAAACGTCCTGCAGAAATAGGAGGGACTGTCCTCTGTGACACGGACTTGTCTCACTTAAAATGCCGGTAGTGCCCCAGTTAGAAACCTGGAGTTGGAATAAGGCTATGGCTTATGTCCCACTTCCTTGTTATGAGATTGATGAGTCTGGGAGAGGAAACTGAGCTTGCATGGCTCAGACCCCCTCCCTCCATTTTTGGATTTGCTTTTCTCTAAAAAGAGTCCATTTTGGTCTGCCACGTGATAAAGGGCCTACTGGAAGTAAGATTATATGGGAGAGAAACTAGTGGTGCCCACACCCCCGATATATTAGCTCCCTCTTTCACAGTTAAAGAAGTTTTCACTGGGCACATTTTTGCCTGGAATAAAGGCTATATTTCCCAGCCTCCCTTGCAGCAAGTGTGGCCTGGAGGCCAGGTTCTGGTCAATGAAGTGTGAGCAGAAGTGCAGTTTTGGGGTCATGCCCTTAAAGGACTGGGCCCCTCCTTTCTTGTTTTCCCTTCCTTCTGTCCAGGGTGGGGACGAGGTGGTGTGGCATCTTGGACCATGGGGACAAGCGCAACTCCATAGGGATGGCCAAGAACAGGATGGAAGAGCCCAGGCTCCTGACACCTTCACAGAACAGAGCGGTGGCACGGTTACAGCAGAGAGAATACATTTCCATGTATTTGTATGTAACTAAAGCTATTCTTATTTTGACTGTCATACACAGCCAAATTTATATCCTAAATTAAGCTGCTCAATTTAAGGGAGCAGAAAGAGGGAGGGGGTGGCAAGTCCATTGGGCCACATAGCTCACTTAGGTTTCCTGATATTCTTTATTGTTCAGGTAATAAAACCAACATGTTGCCTTCTCTCTCTATTTTACTTCTGCATCTCTCTCTCTCTCTCTCTCTATTACTTCTGCCATTAGGCCAGGATGAAAGGTGATATTCATTGAGCTCTTAAGTCTCTGCCCAGTTACTGGCAGAAAAGTAGGTGCAAAGAAACCGAGATTATCTGGAGCTTTTTCTGCAAAGCAGGACCTACTTAGGCAGAG